TACAATTGCAAACGCCCCATTCTGAACCCAATCCCTCCCCTCCCGCCCCCCACCCCCAAAAAGTGTCTCTGGTTCATAGTTTTTTGTTGATTTTGATTTTCACTTTCTTATATTCATTTTCCTGGTCCCTTATTTAAGTTTTCTAGATTCCTGCTATGAGTGAGACCATCCGGTATTTTCTTTTTCTTTTTGGCTTATTTCGCTGAGCATGATCCCTTCCAGTGCCATCCATGTTGCTGCAAATTGCATGTGTTTATCTTTTTTGAATGCTGAGTAATATTCCATGGTATATATGTACCACATCTTCTTGATCCAGTCATCTATTTTTGGGCATTTGGGTTGTTTCCAAAGCTTAGCTATTGTAAACAGTGCTGCTATAAACATAGGAGTGCAGGTGCTCTTTGGAATTGATGTTTCTGTGTCCTTTGGGTAAATACCTAGGAGTGGAATTGCTGGATCATATGGAAGCTCTATGTTTAGTAGGTCCAGAAATCTCCACACAGCTCTCCATAGTGGTTGGACCAGTTTGCACTCCCACCAACAGTGCACAAGAGTTCCTTTTTCTCCACATCCTCGCCAACATTTGTTGTTGCTTGTTTTTTTAATATGTGCCATTCTCACTGGTGTGAGATGGTATCTCATGGTAGTTTTGATTTGCATTTCCCTGATTACAAGTGATGTTGAACATTTTTTCATATGTCTGTTGGCCATTTGCATTTCCTCTTCAGAGAAGTTTCTTTTTAGCTCTTCTGCCCATTTTTTGACTGGATTATTTCTTTGTTGTTGCTGAGTCTCATCAGCTCTTTGCAGATTTTTGTGATCAGTCCTTTATCATTAGTGTTGGGTGCAAAAATGTTCTCCCAGTTGGTGGGGTTTCTCTTTGTTTTTGTTATTGTCTCTTTTGCTGTGCAGAAGCTCTTTAATTTGATGTAGTCCCAGCTGTTTATCTTTCTCTTCACTATCACTGCTTTGGGTGATGTGTCTGTAAAGATGTCTTTGATGTGCAAATCCCGTAGTGTTTCGCCTATATTTCCTTCTATGTATTTTATGGTTTCAGGTCTTATGTCTAGTTCTTTAATCCATTTTGAGTTGATTTTTGTGTATGGTGTGAGGTAGTGGTCAAGCTTCATTCTTTTGCATGTAGCGACCCAGTTTCCAGCACCATTTATTGAACAAACTTTCTTTGCTCCAATGCATATTCTTTGCTCCTTTGTCAAAGATTAGTTGACCATAAATCTGTGGGTTTATTTCTGGATTTTCTATTCGATTCCATTGGTCTGTATGTCTGTTCTTGTTCCAATACCATGCAGTTTTGATGATTATGGCTTTGTAGTATAGTTTGAAGTCTGGGAGTGTGATGCCTCCATTTCCTTCTTTTTTTTTCAGTAGAGCTTTGGCTATTCGGGGTTTTTGGTGATTCCATATGAATTTCATCAATAATAACACTAAAGGTTTTAAGAGTAATTTTACACTACATCGTCTCAGTTTCCTTTACTCTAGATAAAGGAAATAAGCTCAGAATAAATAAGTGGTTGCATAAGGACACAGCTAGTAAGTGGTTCAGGAGCTTCTTCTTTCACTCTACCTAGTTATAAGCTAGTTAAAAGGACGAGTACACCAAATTCACCAATTACATCTTTAAAAGCTATTTAAGAAAATCTTTAGATCCCACTTTTTTTGTATGGAATAAAGCATTAATTAATGAAATTAAACATTAAGAGATTAGCAAATTATTAAGTTAGAATTGTAATAGCTTACCTGGATAAAAATTACTAGTAGAATTGGTAGGAGTGTAGACTGGTCTAGCTTCTATGGAAAACAAAATAGGTTTCTTAAAATAGTAAAAACAGACCTACTATACAATCCAGCAACTCCACTCCTCAAAGAATGCAAACACACGAATTCAAACAGATATGTGTTCATTGCAACACTACTTACAATAGCCGACTTATGGGAAAAAACAATTGTCCAACAACAGATAAATGGATAACGATGTGGTATGTATGTACAATGGAATATTACTCAGCTATTTTTTAAAAAGATAAAAATGTGCTATTAGTGACAACATGGATAACATGAATGGAAATAGAAGGGACTGTGCTATATGCATTAAGTCAGAAGGAAGGAGACAAAGATTAGATGATTTTACATATGTGAAATATAAAGAAAGCAAAGGAACAGACTTAACTACACCAAAACAAATCCAAGAAATCTGACTGCAGAATTGAGGCCACCAGAAGGGGAGGTGAGGATAGAGAACAAAGATGGAAGAGACCCAATGGACTATGATGGAGGATCATTGGTATTGTGGTGGTTTAGGTGTAGTGTAACAGACATCTGAAGAGATGGAAATTTATATCCTTAAATCATATACAGTGTTAAAAATAATGTTTATATTAAATAATATTAAAAATAATTTAGTATCTAAAAAATTACTAGTATCCCCCTCCCAAATCTATTCATTCAATACGTACTTATTGAGTACCTTCTACTTACCTGCCACTAGGCTAGGTGCGAGAGATACAATTGTGTTTAAATCAAATATGATACAGTTCAGGTCTTCAAAGAGCTTATGGTCTTATGGGGAAATAAAAGTAAACAAGCAATTTCAATAATATGAACTAAGTGGCCCAAACTAAGGAAGTATAGGATGCTATGAGAGCATACAACTAGGGTAGCTGTTCCAATATATTATAAGAATATATAATAATTTATAATAATTAGAATAATATTGACTATTTTCTGGATAGCTGGAGTCTTCATTTAATAAAGTTCTTCATGAATTCCATTTGATTTACTTCTAGTAAACTTACCTACTTCTTGGCCTCATTATACATATAAAACTTACCAATGAGAAACTTACTTTGTGAATTTCTACTCTGATCTTTTTTCAGAAAGCTTTATGATAAAATCACTAAAATATGTGGAATTAAGTCCTTATACTATGTCATTCATACCATTAGTTCATAATATTCAAATCCTAATTAAAACCAGAAATATAAAAAATTTGAACTTCCATTGTTAACAGTACCTGCAGTAGAGAAGAACACATATATATTGTTGATTTCTAAAACTAAGCATGGTAAAATCTAGTTCTTCAACACCAGAGTGAAAGACATATACACATTTGAGTTACCTAAACATAAGCAGAGAAAATATAGAATTATCTTCAAATTCCCCCTGGTTTTGCTAACCTGTTCAACAACAGAAATTCCACCTTTCTTGCTGCTATTTTACAAATGGAACATGCAACTGCAAGTCATTATTTGAAAGAGAGACATTATAAACAATTTATTTTTCTTATTACAAAAACACATCTTTCCAACCATCCCAAATTTGTCACAGTGTTGGTGCCCAGGAAATATTAAACAAATGAAACCAGCAATTGTAGCCCTGGAAATTTAAAAGTACTTATATGAAATGTGTAATTTAAAAGGGGGGTTTATTAACTGACTTAGACTTCCATTGTGAATAACCACAGACATTTAATAACTTACTTTTATGTCTTCTTAATTATCAAAATTAGGTAAGTTCTATTTAACCATAAGTCTGTCCAAATATTACACTTATAAATTAAGAGAAAGTGTTAAATAGGAGAGTAAATTTTGAAAGAATTTTATTTATATTTCATTTCAGTCAAATGTTCTTTCCAAATCTATAAGACCATCTGTCTCAGTTTCAAAGTTTTAAATATTATTTGGAAAACTGTTATTAAAAAGAGACTGAAAAACATTTCAACATAGTGATAAAGTGGACAATTTTAAAATGTTACATAAAACAGTTAAATACATATATATAACAACAAAAATTCTTTATTTAAAAATACAAGGTTATTAAAAAGGGTAAAAATGACAGTAAAATCTTTTCAAAACTCACTTTAAAGAAAACATACAATGACATGAATTATCATATGCACAAAGTAGGAAATAATCATCATCTGTCATTAATGGGAATATTTGCATGCTCTCACAATATTCATAATTTTAAGTTAGACAAAGTAAATATTGGAGGGGAATGCTTCTTTTATATTTAAAGTCTCTTTAGAGGCGTTTTAAATTCTGCTTACTCTGGGCACTTCCTGGAAGAGCATCTTTTCTATTTCTTGGCTTTGCTGCTCCTCTACTACATTCTTCAGACCCATGGTAAGCACACAAACATAACACACAAAAGTCAAAACCACAGGCTGTCCGGCTACACAGTCCCCTTTTCTTATATGGCTGGTATTTAGCAGGGGATTGGCACCGTGGGCAAGGTTTTAATGCTTCATCAATAAAAAGTGTTTTGGCAACCTGCAGTGAAAGCATACACATATCTTGCAGTTTCATATAGAGAATCACTTTATTTCAAACTCTGCAAATATTTACTTCTAATAACTTATGATAAATACTCACCTTAACATATTCTTCCTGTTTACTATTTAAGAGGGTCACAGAAGAGCTTGCTATAGGTGTCAAGACTTCCCCCCAAGGAGAAAATGTTGAAACTTGTTCTTTCTGAGAACCCGGAGTCCTAGCCTGAGCTTGCACAGATCTTAAAGCTGATCGATTTAAAAGATGGAGCCGAGTAGCAGCATCCGCAACATTTAATATAGTTCCCTGTGATGAAAGATAAGGTCACTAGTACATATTGTTCCAGGACAGTTTTCTGATGCTCAGGTATTTAAATGTGTGGAAATGTGTGTACACTCCTAGAATTTTTTTCCTAAAACATTCTGTGTTAGAAATGTTTCCTCATCTCACATTTAAAAATCAAATATAAAAAAATTAAAAAAACACATGCCAGCTTTTAAAAATGTTTGTATGATTAGTTATTTTTCCTTATATAGAATGGGTCAGTAAACAGTTCCTGAAAAGAGTCAAACAATAACTATTTTATACTTTGTGGGCCAGATAGTTAGAGCTATTCAAATGTCATTTTAGCAAAAGCAGCTGTAGAGAACATGTGAATGAAAAAGCAGGTCTATGTTCCACTAAAACCTACTTTAAAAGCATAGGTAACAGACTGGGATTGGAATAGCCTGGAGCAGCCAACACATTTTAATTGAAGGTCTATGAAGAGGTGTTTTTTTTTTTAAGTGTTATACGATACCATAGAATTCTCTGAAGGTTTCTACCTTAGCCACATGTCAGAAGAAGAATAGGCCTGAGCAGGCCATAAACACAATTAATTTGGCTGGTTTTTGCAAACAACAAATACTTGCCATACTTGGAAATACTTGGATTATTTTGACACCTAAGCTTTAAACAACTTGACATTTTAAAAGGAGGGAAAAAATCTCTCATCTGAACTGGATTTCTACACTATTTAAATATCTAGCCAAGAAGTATGAATAATCCATATAGTCCTCTATTTTGTTAAGTTTAGTAGTAGGGAAAAACAGTAAGTTGTCTGTTTTTGTTTTTTTTTTTACAAATTGGTATTCTTATCACTCATCAAAATGAAATATACTGTGGGTGAATTTCCTTATGTGTACAACTGTAATTATGTTTCCTCTCCCTAGGTAGTCCCCCTTTGCCACAACTGGTCCCTAATAATGGGGAGAATTAAAACATGAGAAATTATAATAGGGCAAGTACAGGAAATGAAATAGGCAAATTGGTCATGAAAAATTATGTCATTAACATTTTAAGAACATGCAAAAGTGTAATGGATGAATACTGATTTTCAGAAATAGAATGAATAAAGTTGAAATTACTCAAGGACTCTTTTTATATTACATTTCTATAAATGATTTGCATCCTAGACCACAAGCTCATGACTCAAAAGCACAATGAGAGAAAATACCCACTGGATTTGGATGCAGTTGGTAAACACAATGATTGTTCATGCACCAAAAAAAGATTTTGTTGAAGCAAATTCCAGCGACAGAAGAAACATTCATCATTTAACAGATACTAATAGAATACCTGAAAGTGCCAAGTGAATAAAGCAGTCTAATTCCTGTATTCCTAAAGCTACTCTCTGAATAATACAAGGCAAAGATTCAACAAAGGTACATGTCCACAAGTGTGAATATCTTTCACAACACAGTCATCATCACTAGAAAATATTTCAAGGTGAGATTGGGGTCATTTCATGGTTGTTCATTTCTATGGTGAACAGTGAAGAATACAGTATATTAACAAAATTCAATGTAAAGGTTGTGGTATTGCAGTTAAATGTTCATCTCACTGCTGCAAAGAAAAACAGAAAAAATTGAAATCCTACTATACATAGTTGGTCTGTACCATCTAAGTTTTACACACATAGAGCTTTCATTGTAAGCCTATACACGTGTGAAGAAACTATCAAACAAGTTTGTTTTATAATTTTTCTGTTTGCTTGATGATACATTAGAATAGTTTGGGTAGAGATCAATTCACATTGGAATAGGAGGGCAAAGGGTACCGGGAAGGATGTCTCTGAGGGAAAAAAAGGAGCAGATAGAATACCTGATTTGTTTGGACTTACACAGGGGAGGTTTTCAATTCTGGTGGACAATAGGAGATGAATCAGGGATCTATATAGAGGAACACTAAGCCAAAAATAAATAAATAAATACATAAATAATAAACAAATAAATAAAAAAAAAAGCTGGGCAATTATTACCTATGAGGGTGGGGAGGGATTATACCTTATATTAAACAAGGTATAATCATAGTGTACTGCATTACAGCTATCAAAAAGTCAAAATAATAAAGTTATCAAACTAATAATATCAATACACTCTGAATATGTCAGCACCTATTTCTTCTGATTCACTCCCAAATGATGATATATAGTTTAAAGGCATTCAGAGGGAAATGGGTAGATTGGTAGTGGTCGCAGTGGTAAGAGGTTAGAGAACTAACCTAGCCGTTCTGTAGAAAAACACGAAATAATAAATTCATGGTATTTAGAAATATGGAGTAAAGACTAGAAGAGACCACGGCAGAGCTGAAAGTGATAGTCTGATGGCAAGAATCAAGAGTAGGAAGAGGTAGAGCAGGAGAATGTTTATTTTATTATAATCCTCATAGTCCAATTAAATTTTTTAATCATATGCTTTCGTTGCTTTGAAAAAACTTTAAAAGCATGTCAAAATAAGAAAAAAGTTAAAGTACGTTCCTTAAGAAACAAGGTTTTTGGAAAGCGGTGCTTAGGAAATGGGCACAGATTATTTTATCTGGAATTACCTGAAAGATTGCTAGCACAGCCATATTTCTGCCTTACAGGATATATGTAGTAAAGTACATAAAGCTAGAAAGTTTAATTAATTGGTGCTTGCTAAGAACAATGGTTTTTAAGTTTGTCTTTTGCATGTAGGGTAACATTCTTAAAAGATAAGAAGGCAATTGAATCTTTGCTATTATAAGCTCCCAGAATCAGCAGCTGCAGCAGTAAGTAGTGACTGGGAATTGTGAAGTTTTGTAAAAAAGTAAAACTTTTTTTCTAAGTAAACTAGAAAGTCAACATTTCATTGACAGCAGTCCTTAATATTTCATTTTAATGAGAAACCCATCAATCTTTTCATCTGGGTACTCATATTTGTTTATGCCAGGCTTCATCTCAATTACTACATTTAGTCAAGTGAGCAATTTACTTATAATGTTATAAAATAATTTCTACTAGACAAGAATAAGGGAAGAATAAGGGTTGGTAATGGCACCTAAGGAAGGTCTAAAAGTTGAATATACAATCAAATACGGGTGCCAGTGTCATCAGATGTTAAACAAAGCAGTGTCGCTGGGAAGAATAATCAGCTTCTGTAGGACTTTTCTTGTAATTCAAAGCTAGATCTCAAATTTTCAAGAAAGTACAAGTTTAAAAAGTTTTACCAGTGTTAACCTGAGATATTCTCTCACCTCTAGACCTTCACATATACTGTGGCCTCTGCTGAAACACTTTCCTGGCTAACTACTAATTCCATGCAGGTCTCAAGTTGAGAAGCTTTTTTCTGAGAAGCCTCCTATTGATTCCCACATATCACACATTCCTTTAAATGTTCCAAGGGAACTTACTCTGGGTTTCACCTAACATACCTGTATTGCAATTAATTGATTGTCTGTTATTACCCACAAAGTATGAGCTCCAAGAGAGCAGGGACCAATTTTAACATGTTCACCATTGTAATGAGTTGCATGCAATATCCACTCAAAAGACTGGCTAGAAAATGCTATAAGAATATCTTGTTATGAATAAGATCCAGCATATCATTGGTATTCAAATGCTTCTAACATAACAAAATACTTAAAAACAACAAGATCCAACAAGATGTTCTTGATGTTAGTTTATTCTATTTATGGACTAGGTAGAAAAGGAGTTTGGGAAAAATAAAGAATGAATATTATTAAATGGAAATAGTTAAAATTAGCAGGAAAACCAAATTAGCTTGGCCAGAAATACGAAATTGTTTGGTATTTATGCAAGTCCATCTTAGAAAAGTATTGTATACATTACCTCAGAATCTGTTTTCAGCTGTGTCATATATAATTTCCTCTTCTTATTTGCTTTTTTATCTTGAACAATAATTTCACGCCAATTTCTACTCACTTTCCAAACACTACAACAAAAAGATCAGTTCTTGTGTTGTACATATTCCACAAGATTAATATTTTTGCATATGGTAATTAATAAGAAAAACTTGTTTTGAAAAATCTTGGGCAATAAAGTTAATCTAAAAGTTTACATTAAAATATGACTTGATCTATCTCATTTCATGTTGTTTTACTATATGAAAGGATTCCTATTAAAATAGTAAATATATGCCAGTATTTAATGATTGACTAATACCTTATAAATGGTTAAGGAAAACAATTTCATGTAAAGCAAATGAATCCACTAGGAAATTAAGAGAATTTATCTTCAATTGTGACACTAAGATAAAAATTTGGAACACTATATTCATTCAGTAAATGATTATCAGCTATAGTGCAAGAGATTTTTTTTATTAATTTCTCCTATTTCTGTATTTAACAAATCTCAGTCATTTCAATTAGATAATCATAAGAACAGTCAATCCTTCATTGGAACTACTAAGTGATAAATAATAAACATAATTGGGTAGCAACAAAGCTCCTATTTTACACACCAAAGTTAATGAGAATGCAGCGGCTAAAGAAAAAGCACAATTTGTTTTCAGGGACTACTTATCAGTAAATTTTGACTACATTAGTTATTAAAGAAAAGGTAGTTGTTTGTTAATCTAGCTATTTTTAATTACTCTAAGTTTAACAAATCATACATGGGGAAAAAAGTCAAAGGTTGAAAACAAAAAGTTATTTGTTATGAGGGCCCCAGGTAATAATTGACTTGTCAACACTACCATTCTTACAGCTTCCATGGCCACTTCACTTGCCACTGCCTATGCAAAAACTGATATATTCCTTATATCAGGAAGATGGAGAGTAATAAAGTCACCCAGTAAAGGGGATGAATAATATAATGTAGTACTTGTCACAGCTATTGCAACTGACCATAATCTCTCACATTATCAGGAATAAGCACTACTGACATTATACATAGATTCTGCAACACAAATACTATAAATCTTTAGGGGTAGGTAGGAAAGGTAATTACTGAAATATAATTGAATATCAACTGTGCCACTAATGAGCACCCAAAAGTATCATCGAAGTTTTAACTGATCCATATCCAAATGCTCCAGCATATAAAAATAAAGTTCCTATATCTGTTAGGTCCTTAATTTTTTATACAAATATTTTATCTTATGTAAACATTTTTAAGGCAAATACAGGTAGCTGTACTAATATTTTATTATCATACTTGGATTACCCCAAATATAGTCCCAATTAAGTCTATTCTGAAAGACTTAAAACTTAATAAAAGTCTGTGGGGAGACATTGGATAGTCAGAGATCTGAACTGCAGACCTGTCCCTAGAATGTCTTCCTATTTCCTAGAGCAACTTTTGGCAGGTCATTTACTAACTCTGTAGCTCAGTTTCCTCATCTGCAAAATACATGAAGGGATTAGATATCTCAGAAAGCTTTCAGTTATGAAATTCTAGAATTCTGTGCAATTAATTTGGGGGGAGAGGTGAAAAAAGACTTTAGCTGAAGTAGTGGCCATACAAACAGCAAGGACTTTTGAGTCAAACTCTTGACACATATTTATCAAAAACAACAACAAAGAAGAAGTTCTCTAACTCTCTGGCAATTCCTCTCCTAATATCCCCTTGCAAAAATCCTGTTCCATGGGGTCTCCCTCCATCCTGCTCATGGCATCCCCAGGAGTCTTATCTTCTGATAGTTCTGAAACTACCCCAAATTGCCAAAATGAACAGTTTCAATTTAGTCTTTGTAACCCCAGTTCCCACCTCAATCTCAATGTCTTAACTTCTCTTTAATTATGTAGCAATTCTCAATATACTGAAATTTCTATGACCATAAATTCTTCAGTTTTTAATTCCTTGAAATATCCCAAAGTAATTAATTCCACTGTTGTGTTATCAATGAAAATAAAACAAGCTACAGCCTTTTGATCTCTGGAAGGACAAACTATAAAATGAAAGCTAACAATTGTTCTTGGATTCTAGAATTTAAATAACGAAATGGTATCCTTTGTGTTGTCATTTCTTAGCACCGTAATGATTTACATTATTTCTGGTCAGGTAGTAAATTAATAAAATTTGAAGTCTGACAGCACGATATAAACTATTTATTACATCATTAAATCATAAAAAAAAATTTCCATGGAACATGACCTTCTGTCTTGAAAATTTTTTAAGTTCAACTTTTAGAAACTCTCTTCCCAAATGGTGACATGAACTTTATCTAAAAGATGACTATATTGTTGCTTCTACAACAGGTTTTTAAATAGAAGGTACTGTACTAGTAGTCCCTATTTGGAAGCTCAGAAAGCCACTTTTGATAAAGTCTAAGATAATCAAAGATATAGGTAATATAACAAAAAAAGGATGACTATTCAACTCATAGAAAAGCTTTACAACTTAAAAAAAAGTGACAAAAGGTGCTTTTATTTCAGTTAAAAAATTATTTCTTACCTGCATAAGCTTTCTGCAGTCAAGGAATCTAAAACCATAGCAAGAACATGCTTTAAGTTTCTATATTTTAATTCTGTTAAGATGTCCAATTTTTCTATACCCATTTTCTTGCCAATCAGTCCTGCAAGTACACACTGCAATATGGCTATTTCCCCCCCATCCCTTTCTTCTAGGAATTCATGTGCACCATTTTGCTGTAATCTTTTCCTTTTGCTTTTCATAAAGAGCTCATGCACTAATTGCAAGGCTGGAGTTTTTGATAAATTCTTAAAGCTTAAAATCAAATCCCCACTCTTATCACTGCTCAGTTGACTCTCTGAGATGTCTGAAGAAGCTGCTGGTGTTGCTTCAAGGTCAGAGTGGATGGCCTGCTTTTCCTCCTCTGTCTCGGATTGTGAGCCTTGCTCCCGAAGAGTGGACAATCTTCTCCACCTTCTAAGACGCCTTGACTTTTTTATGGTGTTCCCCACTTTGAGAGTGCCCTTCTGTTTCTGAAATAGTTCTTGAAAAGAACCCTCATGGTCAGAGAGGAAATCTGATTTATCCAAGAAAAGTGAGTTAAAACCACTGTCTTCAGGTGTTGAAATACCAGTTCTCACTTCACTTGAAGAAGACAAACCTTCACTAGCATTAAATTTAATGTTTGCTACAAGATTATTTATTGGAGTCACAAATATGTCCTCATCTGTTCCACAAGTAGTTTCACTAACAGAGGAGTCCAGGAGTTCAGGATATGCATTCTCATTGTTAACACACAGACTGCTATCACTAAATTCATGTGTGATAGAGTCTTTAAAACTATTGCCCTGAATAGGAGAAATACATTCAACTTCAAAAAGGCTACAGTCATCTTTGGGATCATCAACTGTGGAAGTCTTCTGCTGAGAAAAATTAAGTCTCAATTTTCGACTGCTGGAAGTTGCTGCTTCTGTTTTCAAAGTGCCAGCAACTAAAGGACTAAAATTACTTTGCCTTGGAGAACCTGAAGTATGGCTTGGAGTAATTTTTTCTAAGTGGAGTACATGACTCACACTACTTGCTGGAGAACTATTTCGTGATTCAAAGTCCCCAGTTAGAAGAGGGAAAGATATGTCCAATCTTCTGCGCAATAAACATTTTTTCCTACTGACTTTAGGAGTTTCACAAAGTTCTGGGGATTTACCTCTTTCCTTCCTCAGGAAGACAAATCTGTGTTTTTGAGTGGATGACTCTAAAGGATGTGTTAAGTCCAGACTGGAAGTTTCAGAATGCTCATAAATTAATGTTGGGTCTCTTTCCTTCTTTCCCAAAATTTCTGTATTTGTATTATCAAAACTGTAAGATTTCAACAACTCACTGTAGTCATTCTCTTGAAATGAAGATGTGGAACAAAAATCTCTGGAGTACTTGAAATTGACAGCAGAAAAGTCCAAGTCATTTCCTTCTCCAGTGCAAGCTTGACTTGAACACCTTTCTGACATCTTCAAAAGCTGTTTTTACAAAGCAAAAACAAACTTTATTCTTTCTTTGAAATGAATAGCCTGGAAACTTAACAAAATACATCATCTTCTATGAGTATAGATAATAATGGAAAATTTTATGGCAATAAAAAAGTTACTTAAAACAAATCTCTACAATATATTCAATGGGTACCTTGCTTCAAACAACTTTGACATCATAAAAATAAATTTCAGATTATAAAAATTCACAGATAACTAGGCATAGTTCTAAGCAGCATACACAAACATTTTCTTAAACTAGACTTGAGGAAAAAATCTGGCAGCATCATTTTTAGATGATTTTATTACCTTTTGATTTTAACAGCACTAAGGTACAAAATTGCAGTTTTAACATTCAAGCTTATTTGTACTGGCCTATATCTAGTCAAATGGGTGCTTCCTTTCAAAGTTCTGGGATGTAAATAAAGTTGCTTACAAAAAATCCTATATGCTTATTTTTGAACAGGCTTTTAGGAAATGTGCCAAATGAATGCTGTCACTTACTTTAAACAAAATTTGACTAAGCAACTTCAAGATAATGTTATTTATATTTATAACACAGGCCTGTCTCAGAAATTAAGTTCCCAAGACTACTCACTAGATTTAAAGTCCTGGGCTTATACCCTTGCAAAGACTCTTTAGCTTATTGATAAATTACTAATACATTCTTCTTGAGCTATCCAAAATGAACACTATCCAGTAAATACAGGGTTATTTCAAACCTAGTAAATTATACTCATCCATGCCTCATTTTGTAAATATTTTGAGACAAAAGGTCCAGTTGGAGGATTGAACTGACAAATAACAGGCAATTATTTGTAGGATACCCACATTTTGTAATAGTCTTACAACTGCAAATTCATATCAATTACTTAAACATGTTACTCAATAATTACATTTGCCAGGAATGACACCAGGAAAGTAGTTTACTTCTTAACTTTTCAACAGTATCATCATATTACTTCTATTTAGAAACTTGAATTAAACACGAACACAAAGGAAACTAAAGTTATGGTTTCTGATTTTTCTTCAAAAGCCACGATTATTCAAAAGCCACTAAGAAAACTGCCCTTCTTTCAAACTTACTAAATATGTGATTTTTACTCTAGTTATAAAGATCTGGGGAAGACAAATTTTTGTGGCTATAAAGGGAAAGTAATTTAGTTATGCTTGATTACATCAGTTAAATATATGAGTGAATGACCTTTTTTAAAATAACAAACAGCTGCTACTCCAACCACAAAACAATATAAATTCTTTCTGGCATAATAAATGGTCATTAGAAAATTATTACTCCTGGATGAAGTAAGAGCTTTTCAACTCTTTAAATCTATATATATTTTTGGTGAATTTCACAGTTCGGTTCAGATGTGGAGCCTATCAAATGTGGGAATTATTGCTCTATTCTGTACATGCTCACCAAAATAATCAAAATCAAAGTTGGTAATTTGTATATTCTAAAACAATTTTAATTTCAAAATATTAGGTTATTTAGAATGCATTTTCAAATTATACTGTCACTCAGGAATGTCATCGTCCCCTTCTCCCTCCACATTTGTATTAAGTAACAATTTTCACTCGTCATTTGGTAAAAATTTGTCAAGGGAGTCCTTTAAAAAGTTTAAAAAAATAAAACTATTCTGCTACTTCGCCATTAGGTGTCCCACTCTCCTAGAACACGGGAAACTGAGAGGCAAAATATTGGAAACAAAGCGAGGAATGCATTCATTCTCTCCCCCTAAAAACTATAGACCACTTGTTATTAACAGAAATACCAAAAAAACAAAACAAAAACAAAAACAAAAAACAAAAAGCCTTTCTAATTCCTTTTGGTAAATGTACACATTTGAAATCGCCTCCAACATGCCTTCTCGGCTGTCATCACTTTCATCTTTCTACTACCCCAAGATGTTGGTCTCGAATAACATTTGTTACTTCAAAACTTAATTTTAAAATGATTACTGCAAAACATGAAATGCTTACTGAATTATTAATTCAGTGACTCCACAGCTTACTGATGACTCAAACAAAAGCCTCCATATTCACTTTTGAAAACCAGTCGCCCAACAAAGGCATGCGAACACTTATCTCTACAGTGCTCTTAAAAAAGAACACGCACACGTCTCAAGTCAGAGAATGAAATACTAACTACATTAAAGTCAAATTCCCTTCACTGGTTAAAGAGGGAAATCTTAGCATCAGTAAATCTTGAGCTTTTAGATGTCAAAGTTGCCTAAGCTTCTAACCGAGAATCTCACGCTGTGTTTCAAATTCATGCCAAAGGAATACCACTTACAGAGAAAACTTGAGTTGGAACAGTTAGCAGCAACGTGCAGTAGCAAGATGACTGCTAACATTTGAAGGGGACCAAAGTACAAGTGTCAGGGCTTTTAACGCGTGAAAGCTTCAGACCTAAAACATTTTGGAGTTCCCTCAGCTTTCAAGACAACAGTAATTTTAATGTCTTTTTTTGCCCCCAGCTACTCTTGGGCTTGTGAAAACTTGCCAAATTTGGATTTTTGAAAATGCAGCGTAAACTGCAGCGCTGTCATTGACGCCCGCGAGGCTTTCCCAGCCGAAGGGGGTTTAACGGTCCCACCTGGGCGTCCACAGCCCGCCCGCCCCAGCCCCGACGGCCCCAAGGCCAGGCCGGGGGTGGGGGGTTCGGGGTGGGGGGGGGAGGCTCGACTGGGCCTCCAGGACCCAGGGCCACGACCCAGGTGGGTGAGTGTCACCTGGAGCGGAGCGAGAGAAGTGAATGGCTTCGGGGTACCTCCCCAGGCCCAGCACCTGAAAAAAAAAAAAAAAAGTGGGACGCCGGCTGGGGGACGGCCGGAGGCCCGCTATCGCGCACACACTTGGGGGGCCCGCTCCCGCCCACCTGGAGACCCAGGCGACGCCGCACCGACGTCTAGGCGAAGCCGGGCGGGTCTCCCAGGTCGCGGTTCGGGAGGAGAGACAGACAGCAGCCGCCGGGCGAGCCGGCGAGGAGCCACGCCTCGCCCCCTGGGAGGCCCGGCTATGGCAACTCCCACGCCGGGTTCGCTTGGGGCCGCGGCGTTTGGCTCCTTCGGTTTGAACCGCCCGCCCTCAGTAACCGCTAGGCCCCGCCCCCCGGCCCGGCCCGCCCCTCCCGCCGGCTGCGCAGCGCCCCCACCGGTCACCTCACGACCTGCAGCCCCCAGCCGGAGAGATCGCGCTCTTTCCCGCCCTTCCACACAAAATGATTGTGATAGTCTCCCTGGTGGCGCAAGGGGTTAAGAAGCAACCTATGAAGCTTACCTCAGCCACTTCAATATGAGTTCGATCCCCGGTGAGGGAGAAACCCACATGGCTCAGCAGACCTCTCTTGACTTGCCCGCTGCTCCCCTCAGCAGTGTATTTCAGTCAGTCGGCCTGTTCTGTTCCCCGCTCTGTCTCTGGTGGAGGCTGTACTCCCATTCTTGTATGCATAAGTAAATCTTTAAAAAAAAAAATCAAAATGATAGGTTTTTGCTCGCCTCAGTCTCACCTTGTATAGAAAGACGAGTATGCCCTACAGCGGGATGCCACGAAAAATAATAGAGAGGAATATTCACTTTAAAATGTTTCCCGAGCTTTGTGTAAAAAGCAAGTTACAAATCGAATGATGCATTCTAGGTTAGCAGTACAGATATATATACACAGAATAAAGTCTGAAAGGTATGAATAACTTGATTACACTTGATTCTTCAGTTTTTTTTAATCTGTATTTTCATTTTTCTACAAGAATATATGGGGATTTTGTAATAAGGAAAAATTACTAACAACAAAAAGTGAAATGTGGCAATTGTTTAAAAAGGTCCCTTTCTAGAAATCTAAAATAGAGGTTACTGGGAACCTATTATCTGCCAGGCACCTCTGCTACTTGCATCTTCTTCCTAATCTCTTTTTTTCTGGCTTCTTTTCCTCTCTCAATTCCCTCAATGAAGTGTCCTACCTCAGCATTTTTCTTACTTTACCATCTGTGCATTAGAAGCTTCAACCATTACTTTTAAACCACTAACAGTTGCTACCACAACTCTCTTCTGACTAAACATTTCTCCACTGGATGCCCCTCAATCAAAATGTGATATACACAAAGTCAAAGTCACCAAGAATTAAGCCCTGACTATGTTCCAATTACCAGCTAGGTCCTGGGAATACGAAGGTGAGTAAGGCAGTTTCTGCCCTTAAGGGACTCACTGATAAGTGATCCATAAGTGCTGTAATAACATTAGTAACACAAAGGAAAGAGGGATCAATTTACCTTAATGAAGAAGAGGGAGCTGAGCTAACTTTTTATAAAGACCATGATGTGAGGGGGAATTTGAAGGGAAACTGGACATTTCAAAGACAAAGAGCAACTGATTTCAATCTCAGAACAAAATGTGCAAGAGCAGGAAAGAATGAAATGGCACATTGGAGACTAAATAATTTGCTGGGAACTAAGACTTGCTTGAGGAAAGGGCAAAGAAAAGTCTTGAAAAGGTGAAGAAGTCAATTCATGGAGAGTTCTGCATACATGTTATGAAGCTGACATCTCTAGCCAATGCAAGTAGAATGGAGGACAGAACAAAGAGAGGTGAGAAAGTTACTGCATTACTCTGGGAGACAGTGAAGGTGGAGAAGAATCTACTGGCCATATTCCATTACCAGAATAAAACACAAGGAAGAGGAGTTGCGAGAGCAAAGAGTACAGGTTTGGGAGAAAATAAGATGAATTTAGTGTGATTGTTACATTTGAGGTACACCTCTAGGACTTAAGGTAAAGACTTGGTGAATAACAATGTTCAAGACAACATCTCTCTGCAGCTTCCCCTATATTTCCAGGTAGAGTTAGCAGTAGCCCTTCAAACTCTAGGAATCTGTTTGCCACCATTTGCCTTTCCCTGCCACATATTTGCAATTCTCTTTTATTGGCTTTTCTCTATGTAATTTATCACCTTCTAAAATATATTATTTACTTATTTTGTTTAATGCCCACTCATCCTAATGGAACAGGGCAGTGAAATTTGCCTTGTTAAATAGAAGCCACACAACCTGAATCCCATTTAAACATTGCCCCTTTCTCTTTCTCTGATTTTTTTTTTTTTTATGTTACCGCAACTCAAGAGTGAAAGAGCATACCCTTCTTCTAGCATTCAGGGACAAATAACTTTCATTGCCCCCCACCCACCCAAGGACAAAAAGACACGTAGTCATATGTAGCTTGCTTTGAGCTTTACTATATGGTCCAACTTTAAATGATCAAGCTATATTTTCCTATTCTTTACCCATCAGTTTTCGATCTTTTAGTCTCTTTCTGGATTGGGTCTCATCCCACCGTTGATCTTAGAATTCTAAAACCCAGCTATTTCCCCCGGAGGGATACACGGGATGGAAAGAAGGTCAGTGGCTGACTGCAGCTATCAAAATCCCGTAGCCTTAAAGTGGGAGTAACAGTTAGTTAACCCCAGGCCCACTTTTGCTGGATCGGGTGAGGGAAAATTACAGGAAATAAAGGGCAGAAAAGCAAAAACGAAATGATGCAAAGGATAGGAAGAAGCTGCACCACTGCCCCAGCACAGATATTTAACTATTTAAAAAATATATAAGCTGCAAAGTCTTTTCTACGTGAAAATCGTTAGTGGATTCGAGTCTTCTATGCTCCTCCGAGTAATGTCTAACCTAGGATTCCCAGGGCACTCGTCATTTCGGTTTCTCTTCTAACCCTCTGCCTTCCTAGAAGCAGAGCTTTCTAGGGACTTCCTCAATTAAACAAACAGACGCCCTTCCACATCCAATAGCTGTTAGAACGCTTTACATTCCAGAAAAATGAAAATAGCTGCGGGGCAAACAAGCACCAGCAGCTACAACTTCTGGGGTGTACGCCTGCGCACAACCCGGCTTCCACGGAAATGCCCGGCGCGGAAGAGGCGGCGGCCCTGGTACGTCATATGCCGGCGCCGGAACTTGCTTGAGACCCTGTGAGGAGTCACTTGGTCTGGATTAGCGGACAGCGAGGTTTCCCGGTGCTGCGTAGGAGGGGAATTGGTAGGTTGCGATTTGAGCGTAAGTATTTGGGACAGACTGGAAAGACTCTCCAGCTTAAAAAGCTCCGTTGTGGGGTTCGGATTGGGAGAGACTGGGGATAGAGTCTGTGTTGTTAGTCTTTCGCCTAGTTTCTTGGAGTTTAGTTATTGGGAACTTTTGTATTATCCGTCCCCTGTCTTGGGTTACCACGTCTCCCTGTTCAGGGATATAATGTTTTGGTTATCTCCTAGAGTTCTGCAGTCAGATCGAAATCCCTTTGCCTTTCAATATCTGAATAATCCTGCGCAGATTTTCTTTAAAGCTTGTAAAATAAGGGTGATACCTTTTAGGATTGTCGTTAAGATTATAATGAAATCGCATGTATAGAGTACTTATTATGTCCAGTTTAGGGCTAAGTGGCAATATGTTATTTGTTTCCCCATTAGAACTACCAATAGCTTTTGGAAAAGTAGAAATTAGAAATTAGGACCTTTTTTAGCTTTCCCTGAGGAAAAACAGGAGGGCTTGGTTGGATTTGTGAGGAGCCCCGTAGAAATATTGAATTTGAGTCTGTGATTTCAGGAACAATGGACACACAAAAGGAAGTTCAGCCTCCAAAGCAGCAGCCAATGATATATATCTGTGGAGGTAAGTGAAGCACTTATATCAAGAATGTAAACCCTTTTTAAATTATTACATTTATCTTTGACCTAACTTTATTATTTGTCTTACAAAGTTGAACATTTTAACAACTGTAAAAAGGAATCCTTTCATTGAGATTTTCTGTCCTGGAAAAATGAGCATTGCTGACAATCCTTTTTTCCTGTCCCCCCCCCCCAATATGTATGGTAATAGCAACATACCCTTGAGATTGAATATGTTTTAGTGCTTTGGATGAAAAATACAGTTAATTTGCTTGTCTGAAATACTTTCCTTCTAGACACTGAATGAATGTGTTTTCTTTTCTAGAATGTCACACAGAGAATGAAATAAAATCCAGGGATCCAATCAGATGCAGAGAATGTGGATACAGAATAATGTACAAGAAAAGGACTAAAAGATGTATCCTTTTAACTATGGTTTCTAAGTATGAGGTTGGAGGAAATGAAGAATGCTGGGATTGGAAAATCAAAGACTAATTTCTGGTAAACATAGTACTTACTTGGATTACTTTAAAAAAAAAAAGCATGATTAACATTTTCATGGACCAATATGAGCATATAGGCTGTAAATATTAGTTGATTTTTATTTTCATTAATTTATTTTTCAGGGATTCTGTATTTCAGTCCTCGTTCTTAGCTTGAGTTTATGGGCAAACTAAGTTGCACAAGGAGAAATAATAAATATTGTGTATGTTAGCTAATAAAAAAAGCGAGACCTACCAGTGAACCCAAATACTGAGTGTAAATTGTTATGTACGATAGCAACCAACATTTATTAACAAATTGTCACCTTTAACATCACCTCATTGTTTTTGGTGTATTGATCTTTTATGTCATGGAAAGGGAATTATTAAAAATTGAAATTGGTTTTAGTTCATTTCCAATTGTTATTATAAATAGTGAATTTCATTCTCTTGTGCATTTTAAATAACTAACATTACAAAGAGAAGGTAACTTGAAAGTGTTAAATCTTTCATAGAGCTTTCAAATAGATTTTTTTTTCCTTAACTCACCTTAATACAGTGGTAGTTTTTGATGCTCGATGAAATGTGGAATTCAGAGGAATATCTTCTTTTGGATTTGGATTTGCTGTTTCTCGTTGTGTATAGCTTTTCTTAGCATATTTTAGGAATATAACTTTATACAATTTATTTTACTTTAAAAACTTATATTTAGATGTCAATAGTTTGTATAAAGAAATTATTTTTTGTTCAGTTACATGAGTCATAATTTAATTTTAAAGCATATGTAATCTACCCCAGTATGAAGATTGAAATTGCTTCCCCAAATACACTTCTCATAAAAACCTAGCATCATTTGGAGCCCTTATGAAAAATGGAGTTTTCTCCAGCCCTCTAAAGATCTGAGTAACACTTGGAAGACCCTGTTTTACATCATCAACTGTTGTAAACTCTAGCATTATTTTGTATGGAGTACACTAGTGTATTTACTGTCTGTGCATACATGTCTTTGGGTTATATATTTCATTTGTTACTTGGCATAGGTATTTCTATGTGTATTTTGTTTCACTAATTTTGGCAAAAACAAATTTTAATGGTTGCTTTCTGTAAGACAAAATAAAACCAATGATGGGGCAGACAATTACGGCAGGTATTCTCAGGTTTTAGCATTTGTTAAGGTAAAATATTCTTTCAGAATATAAAAATAAAGATTGGTTAACGTTGAATTACTGGATAAAGTTTAAAACTTTTGCCTTGATTTTAGAAATAAAGAATTGATGGCCCTGCCTGTATTCTTGTTGCTGGATTCCATCACTGTGGAATTTCATGTTTACTTACTAATAACCATTTTGAAGACTGAATCTATTCCAACTTTGTTAATATCTACATGTGTCTCTGACATTTGAGAAATTTGCCATTTTATTCATTTTTTTCTACAAGTACACCACCTTTATTTGCATGATCTATGGGATACTCTGAATCTCTCCTGCTACTGAGATACAAACAAATTCAAATCAGATTTACACATGCTGACTGATTTTGGTAGCTGTTTCAGTCAGGATCATCAGGGAAATGCCTGTACCAGATAGGCAGTGTAATTGCACCACTCTAGAAAATTTGACTTTATGCTTCTTCTGTTCCCCAAAGAAGCTGCAAATCCTTCCTTTTGGCCAGAGCAACCAGAGATTTAAAAGTCATTGGTAGTTGGCAAGGTCTGCAAGCACTCTTCTGTTGAGCTCTACTTTGTACTTAGAATGCCAGTGAGTGCTGGGTACTTCAGGCCATGTACCTGGAAGTCAAGTTAGACAGTTAACCAGAGGGTACTCACGTTCATTTTATTCAGTGAATCCTCTTACACCCCTACCTCTGGGGTACCCCTATACCCCAGTTCTTCTATGTATAAATAAGTAAAAAATAAATTTTAAAGTTAAAAAATGTAATGTTAAGAATCATTGACGGGCCTCCCCGGTGGCGCAGCAGTTGAGCGCTGGGTTGCGAAGCTGCCCGCAGCCTCTGCAGCGCCGGTTCGATCCCCGGCTGCTCCCAGCCACCGGAGGAGGGTCCCACATGGCGCGCAGACCTCTCCTGCCGCCTGCTGCTTCCCTCAGCAGTGTACTTCGGTCCTTCTGCCTGCTCTGCACCCCGCTCTGGCTCTGGTGAATTCTCTCACCCTCCCGCGCTTCTGACTGTACCCAGTGCGTGTATAAATAAACAAACAAATAAATAAATAAATCTTTAAAAAAAAAAAAAAGAATCATTGACAAAGCTTTCCTGCTTACCATCTTTATTTTTTCCTCTTTCTCTGCTCTATAAAAGATTTCTCCAACTATACTTTCTAACCTATTTTGGGAGTTTTTATTTCTGGTATAATTTTAATTTTTAAAAATTTCTTTGTTTCTTGAACTCAATGTCTTTATGAAGATGATCATTTTCATTTGCTTAGTATGCTTCCTTCAAATTGCCTTTTACCCTGCTTGTTTATACATAAGTATATATGTATAGGATGAAAGAGAAAGTGCACGTGAAGAGAAAATTGAAGAGCAGGTGGAATTACAACCATTCCCCCAAATTTTTAAAGGATTCCTTCCTATGCTGGAAATAAAATGATGTTCTTACAGTGAGCAGGGTGTTTTAGACTTGGAGGACATGGTTTTGTTTTGTTTTTAGAGGTGTAAGTAAATTTTTATTAGAAGTTGTCAAACAACAGCAAATGAAGAGTGAATAAGGAAACGCCCTATTGTCACAGATACACAAGGCCTCTCCATCATACATAATACAAGAGACATCTCAAATTGTGACCCACAACTCAGAAGTGCAGATGCTTTTTCATCCAATCTATTACTTCCTGCATGACTTTAGATGAAACTTGCTGATGGAGAGGAGAAATGAAGTGACTTTATATACCCTGGGACATGTGATCCTGCTTCCCATGATAAATTAGTAAAGCAGCCTACAGATTATGCTAAAGTTTGAATTTGTGTCCTTAAACATGCTAATTTAACATTCTCCAACAATGGCAGTGAAAATACATAACATTAGAATTTTTACCACGATGATAGTGTCAGCTAATAGACTGTAAGCCTGCAATTTAAGTGCAAAACTTAAATTGGGAAGGTGCTGGATGTTTATTATCTATTTTAACTCATCTGAAGTTATAAAGCTGAAATACGACTATCTCACAAATGATCTCTACTGTTTTATTTATCCGAATTGTGTTGTCTTGCTGCCTTTTTATCCCAGCGTCCAGTATTGCAGTATCTGATTAATAACTAGTCCTCACAAAATGTTAGATGCATGAAAAAGACAAGGCAATAAAAGGAAGGAGGCAAATGATTTTGGTTGCAATGTAGAAATCCTGAAAGTTTAATTATGTTTCTATAGTTAGGCAAACATAGATACAAACTTATCTTGCAGGTAGTATAATTGTCCAGAGTAATAACAGTTTTTATCTAAAACGAACTGAGATAGTAAAGGGGACGCTCTCACCGAGACTCACTTCTCCGGTTGGGTGGCTTGTTTGGGTGCCATCCGGGCCTGCAAAGCCAATCAGTAAGATCACAGGTCCAGAACCAGCCAATCATCCCTCAGAGAGCTTAATCCCCGCCCAGGGCCGGCAGCCTCTCGCGGGGGGGTCCTTAGGCGACACACCCCTCGCCCCGCAGCTGCTGGTCCAGTCGTCCACTCCGCCCGGCTCGGGGCGTGAGACCCGGTGAGTACCTGCCGACCCCGGCTGAATTAGACCTTTTGGTTACAGTCCCTCCTACAGAGAACCGGCCTGAAAGCGTAACGGCAGGAGCTAATGCATCCTCGAAATAGAATGAGGGAGTACGTTGTGAGAGGGTCATACTTCGCGGTCGAGGGTCACAAACTTGGGGCCTTTTGTTTCTCGGGCTGACTACGGCGGACCTTGAGGCTCGGTGGCATCATGGGGATCCTTGGGGTCCACCAGCGGCGACCAGTCCTTACGATCAAGTGGGGAGCGAATTTAAAGGGTTCTAAGGTGCCCCCCCTGACCGTTTTTGGGTTGCTGTAATGCTCCCATGGATCTTCGCCAGTACCTGACCGCTCTGTACTCTCAGGCTGTGGTGTACATAGAAACCGTTGCTAGGCTGGAGGATGCCATTTCCTATGGGTCTCGCTGCAGGGGGCGCTCGACTCTAGGTGCTAGAAGGCTGCCTGGTTGGAAGGTGCCCAGATTTTCGCTGGGCATAAACTTAATCAGCTGACTAATTAGAAAACAGGGGGGACTGAATGTGGATGAGGATGATGGAGAAAAAAAGAAATCCAACTAGTAGCAAAGGTTTTCCTAATCAAAGACATTGAAAACAAATTTGTGAAAAAGTTGTAAAGTGAGCTAATAGAGTATTGTATAACTTGTATTTTGGAACTTGAGAATTAATATTTAGTGGTCTTGAGAATGTGTATTTCACAAACAACAACAAAAAACATGGTAATTTTCAAGAAAGATTCTCAGAGGAATGTTGAAAGTGTTCAGAATAAAATTCCTCATATTAGGTAAGAGATGGCTTTATCATTAAAATGTTTTTCAGTATTTTAATTCAAATCATAAAACCTCAGCAACTGCAAGATACCTTCAATTCGAGGTGATTTATTTTATCCCACTCGATGCTTAAATCTCTCCCATCAGAGATCTTCCAGCTCTTTGGGTTACCTTAGGAGAATTTTCCCAGTCTATTCTGGGCAGCATCAATATTTTAAAAGTTCTTCATCTTGCTGTCTGTCCTGTTATTTCCACCCTTAAGGATACGGTTGTGATTGGAGACCTTCATCGTGCTGAGCTCTGCTGGTGTGCTGTAAAAACCACAATCTCATTTCTCAGCTGGATTGCATTCAAAAGTTGACCAACTGTCATTTATAGTCTGTATCCAAATTAAAGGCAGCAGGAATATGGAGGAGACAGTTGGCAGTGTTCTCATCTCTATTTCTGCAGCGGTCTCATATCTGACCAGGCAGGAAGCAGGAGGCAGGCATGGTGAAGGAAATACATGAAATAGACCCACTGCTGCTGCTTGTTTTAAAATTGATCACCCGATGTGTTTTAGTGCTGTGGCTTTTAAAAAGCATTGACATTGAGAAATATATTTTTACTTTGCAACATGTATATTTATACACACAGTATAATTTCTGTTTATATGGATATGAAATAAAACTGTTTATGAGACAATGTTAGTGTGGGAGGTGTCAGGTAATCTAATTTGTCTTTAATCTCATTATAAAGCATTGTTAATTGCAATTCACTAAATCGATATCAGGCAGTGCAGTCCTGTAATTTAAAAAGCATAGTTATGATGGTTAAGTATGTGGATTTTATAGGTACCTACCAAGATTCAAATCTTCAGTTCACTTCTTGGTATTTACATGACCTTGAGCAGTTTACTTACTTGAAATGCCAACTTCCTCATCTGCAAAGTGGGAATAAATATTAGTATCTTTTCTGAGAGTGTTTTGAAGATTAAGTGAGATAATCCGTGTCACATAGTAATTTAACTCCATCAATGTTAACTATTATTATTGCTCTCTACTTAAAGCCTACCTGATACAGTAGTTGATGGATTGAATGAGGTAACATGTATATAAAGGTAACATATATATGAAGGGTGCACAGCACACATTAAGAACATATAAGTATTTGTGGCTGTTACTATCATCATCACTAGCAGCAGTATCATTGAAGTTAGACTGCCCCAAACCTCCTTATTTCCAATTGAGTTTAGCAAGTGTTATAGGGTTTAAGGCACCTTTTTTTTTAAAAAAGATTTATTTATTTATGCATATAAGAACAGGGGTGTAAGTTAGAGGTGCATGGCGGGTGAGAGGACTCACCAGAGAGAGTGGGGAGCAGAACAGGCAGATATACTGAAATACACTGCTGAGAGGAGCAGCCAGCAAGACAGGAGAGGTCTGCTGCACCATGTGGGTTAGCTTCCTGGCCAGCCAGAGATAGAACTCATGCTGTAGTATCTGGCGGTACTGTCTTTAACCCCTGCGCCACCAGGGAGGCCCCTATGAGGCACTTTTTATGTTAGTCCTGAAACTATGAAGATGAATAAAATAAGATATCTCACAATCTAGATGGGAAGACAAAGAAATATACTTAGAAGATGTGCTGTGTGTTATAAGAGAGGTATGTTCAGAGTGCCACTAGAACACAGACCTGGGAGTGGTTCATTGATGGGAGTCGGGAGTCGGCGGCAAAAAATGGGGAAGAAGGTGATGTTAAGGAAAGCTACAGAAAGATGTTATTTATGTTTGTGCTGAATCACAAAGGAAATCTGAGTGTTAACAAAGTGCTAAAATAGAAAGTTAGTCAAATCAATGTTAAAAGATGTCTTAAAAGGGGGATAAGAACGGTACCCCCAAATAGGCCACTTTGACCTAAGATTACAGTGAGATTACAGTGAGCTGAAGACAAACAGCAGACAGGGTGAATTCTCTGCCCTCTCCCTTTCTGCACTTAAAGTAGTACATAGATTTCCCTTTGTGAAGGTGTCCTCACCACCCCTCTCCCACACCAGGAAAAGAACAACCCTTATCACAGTAGCTGGAGAGTCAGCACCAAGATGAGTCTGTATAAACCAACCTCATTAAAATAATCCTTATCTGCTATTAGTTTTTCCCTTCTCCTAGAAGCCCAAACTCCCTTTGTCTCATCACCCTTTGTTACAATGGCATGTGGGCTCCCAGGTCAAAAGGTTTCTTTAGATTTTCACTTCTTTTCTATGAAGCCCCCATGTGCTTATATTAATAAAATAAAACTTTTCTCCTGTTAGTCTGGGGCTTTTTTTTTTTTTCCAGTTTAATTTTTCTTTTTTTTTTTTTTTTTTTAAAGATTTATTTATTGATTGATTGATTTATACATACATACAAGCACTGGATACAGTCAGAAGCGCGGGAGGGTAAGAGAATTCACCAGAGCCAGAACGGGGAGCAGAGCAGACAGAAGGACCAAAGTACACTGCTGAGGGGAGCAGCGGGCAGCAGGAGAGGTCTGCGCGCCATGTGGGACCCTCCTCCAATGGCCGGGGAGCAGCCAGTGATCGAACCGGCGCTGCAGAGGCTGCAGGCAGCTTCGCAACCCAGCGCTCAACCACTGCACCACCGGGGATGCCCTCCAGTTTAATTTTTAAATCCCAGGTACTGGACATAAATGAGGACCAGAATCTGTTTTGTCATTGTACTTGAACCTAATTGAAGGTTAAGTAAGGTAATCCGTGCATGGGACATAGTGATTTAGCTCCATGAACAGTATATATCATCAGGGAGAGAATTAAAAAAAAAAAATAACCTTTTCCTTGGAAAAAAACTTTACGTCCTCTTCTATATTTGAAAAATAAATATTTCAGGAGTATTTAAGTGATTACCATTATCCAAATGGAATATTACTATATATATATTATTAGACTCACAAACGTTTTCTTCTTACATTTCAGCCATGGCTTCCAAAGATTATCCATCATTGTGGGGTTTTGGGACAACGAAAACATTTAAAATCCCTGTTGAACATTTGGATTTCAAGTATATTGAAAAATGTTCAGATGTTAAACACTTGGAAAAAATTCTTTGTGTGCTCAGGTAACATTTAAAAATCATTTCATAAGCCAATTTTAATTGTTTGGTTGTTGTCTTTTTAAAAAGATTTATTTATTTATGCATACAAGAACTGGGGTACAGGCCATGGGTGCAGGGGGTGGGTGAGAGGATTCACCAGAGACAGAGTCGGGAACAGAACAGGCTGACATACACTGCTGAGGGGAGGAGTGGGGAGACAGAAGACATGTGGGTTAAATCCCTGGCCAGGGATCTAACTTGTGCTGCAGTGGCAATGGCTGCAGCTTTTTCCATAGTGCTGAGACTTAACCCTTTGTGGCACCAGGGAGGCCCCCTTGCTGTTGTCTTCTAGATGTTGAAGCTCCACTAGAATTAGTGGAGCAGATTTTCAAATATTGAGTTTGTTTATTATTTTTGCCCATATTAGTTTCCAAAATAGTGGTTTTGATCCTGTGGTTAGTTTGGAAGGTTGTAGTTAAATCTACTTGAGTATGAAACTTAGACTAATTCATACCCAAGAGGCATTTTTCTTGCTTCCTCCACATTTTTTTTTGAAAAGGTAAAGTAGTTGTGAATGTGTGTATTAAAAAGAGAAAATATAATTTATTCAACTTTTAAAATGTGTGATACAAAGATCTACAAAGAGCTGATGAAACTCAACAAAAAGAAAGTAAACAACCCAGTCAAAAAATGGGCAGAGGAGCTAAAAAGACACTTCTCTAAAGAGAAAATGTAAATGGCCAATAGGCATATGAAAAAATGTTCAATATAACTCATAATCAGGGAAATGCAAATCAAAACCACAATGAGATATCATATCACACCAGTGAGAATGGCACATATTAAAAAAAACTGGCAACAACAATTGTTGGCGAGGATGTGGAGAATAAAGAACTTTCCTACACTGCTGGTGGGAATGCAAACTGGTCCAACCACTATGAAAAGCTGTTTGGAGTTTCCTCAAATTGCTAAAAATGGAGCTTCTATATGATCCAGCAGTTCCACTCCTCGGTATCTACCCAAAGGACACAAAAACATTAATTCAGAAGGACACCTGCGCCCCTATGTTTATTGCAGCGCTATTTACAATTGGCAAGCTATGGAAACAACCCAGATGCCCAAAAATAGATGACTGAATCAAGAAGATGTGGTACATATACACAGTGGAATATTACTCAGAAATCAAAAAGATAAACTCATGCCATTCGCAGCAACGTGGATGGAGCTGGAAGGGATCATGCTCAGTGAAATAAGCCAGAAATACCAGATGGTTTCACTTTTAGGAGGAACGTAGAGGATCCAAATAAGGGATCAGGGAAAGAAAATAATTATAATAAAGTAAATATCAAATCAACAGGCAACTATAAACCAAACACATTCCTGGGGGATAGGGGAGTAGGATCAAAGCAGGGGTGTGAAGAGCACAAGGGACTATGGTGATGGTACATGGGTGAATTGGTGGGAATTTCATGGGAACTTTAACTGAGATGAGAAAGCATACATTGTACAAAGATGAAGAATGATGTAAAAAAAATTAAATTAAAAAAATAAAATGTGGGCCTCCCTGGTGGCGCAGCGGTTGAGCGCTGGGTTGCGAAGCTGCCCGCAGCCTCTGCGACGCCGGTTCGATCCCTGGCTGCTCCCCGGCCACAGGAGGAGGGTCCCACATGGCGCGCAGACCTCTCCTGCCGCCCGCTGCTCCCCTCAGCAGTGTACTTCGGTCCTTCTGCCTGCTCTGCTCCCCGCTCTGACTCTGGTGAATTCTCTCACCCTCCCACGCTTCTGACTATACCCAGTGCATGTGTAAACGAACAAACAAACAAACAAATAAATAAATAAAAACATGCCTCTTAAAAAAAAAAATAAAAAAAAAATTAAAAAAAATAAAATGTGTGATAGGAATTGATATTTTGAAACACTTTTCCTTCATTGCATTGATTCATATATAGGTTAGCAGATAAAAATAGAGGTTGTGCTTCTTGAGGAAGATGAGTGGGCAGCAGCAGCCCACCCTTCATCCTTGTGCATAGGTAGTCCTTGAGATTTCTGCAGAACCCTTGGACTCTGTATAATCCAATTTTCAAACCACTGGTCTTAGTGATCTCTCAATAAAGTGAAATTCTGAATTTTTTTAAAGGTCTGGAGAGGAAGGATATTATCCTGAACTTACAGAATTTTGTGAAAATCGTCTTAAAGGATTGGCTCCTCAAAGTCGAGCTTTAAGGAAAGATAAACCTGCAGCAACAGCATCCAGTTTTACAGCAGAAGAATGGGAAAAAATCGACGGTGATATAAAGGTATGGAGTAACACCAGTTTTTGTGACATTGTCCTTTTGTGGGACCCTCGCCGGTGGCTGGGGATCGAACTGGTGCTGCAGAGGTTGCGGGCAGCCTCGCAACCCAGCGCTCAACCGCTGTGCCACCAGGGAGGCCCGTGACATTGTCCTTTTGTATATGTTTCTGCTTTACTTACCTGAAATCCTAGCCTCCTTAGTTGTCAGCAAAGGGCTCTTGGTGACATTGAATTTAAGTGATATTGCGCATATGTCTACTTCATTTATTGGAAACCCTAGTCTTTTTTGTCTGTAAAATGTTATTAGTGATAGTTACAAGGTAGTGTTAGTTGTTTCTTAACATCTAGAATACAGTGTGTGTCATATACCTTTTATATTTTAAATGACTGAATAATACTCCATCCTATAAAAGAACCTTAATTCCATCAGCTTCTATAAGTAGTGCTATACAAACTTATTTGTTAATTTTTGGTACTGCTAGTGTTATTTTCCTTGGAATAAATAGAATACAACTTGCTTTATCAAAAGATTTGAATAATTTTAAGACTTTTGAAACATATGTTCTCAGAAGAATTGAGCTAAAAACCTTCCTACTAGCTGTGTAAAAGAATGCCTATTTTCAGGTAATCTTCCCTGTAATAATTCTTAACATTTTTAGTCAAGTAAGTAGTTGAAAAATGCAAGTAGTGGGTTTTTTGATTATTAGCAATGTTAAATTTTTTCATTTATCTGTCATTTGAATTTATTTTGTTAATGATTTGTATCTTTACACTTTTCTTACTCAGCTTTATTGAGCTATAATTTATATCCAATAAAATTTAGCAATCTTATTGTACATATTTCACTTTATTTTGATAAATATACGCCACAGAAAATTTCTGCTGTGCCCCTAAAATTTCCTTGTTTCCCTTTGCAGTTCCCTGGCCAACCACTGAACTGCTTTCAATCACTGTAGATTTGTTTTCCTTCTTTCAAGGGTCATTGTTCTGTGCTAGCTATTGTTCAATGTCTAGAAACCATTGTATCATATATTTTATCTAATTCTGTAGATTTTAGTAAGGAAGGTAAATCCAGTCTCTGTTCCACCAGTAGCGCCTGGAGAAAAAGTCCCTTTGTGGATTTTTCTATTGACATGTTTTTTTATTTGTAAAAGTCCTGTCTTATAAGTTGTAAATTTTCCATCAATACTTTATATGCCTCTTTAATTTTGTCTATGGTGTTTTTCATGTATATTCATTTAAATTTTTTAAAATGTAATCACACCTCTTGCTTTTATTTTTTATGATCTTTTCATTTGCTTTTATACTTGGGAAATTATTTTCTCCACCAGATGCATATATCCCTATATATTTCTCAGAGTTCCTTTGTGGTTTCATTTTGCTTAAGAACTAATTTTTAAATGGATTTTGGAAAAGCAGAGTTTTTTGGTTTTGCTCCTTTTTATTCAGTATATTTTTCCTGGGTGAATAATAAATTTGAAAACAATATGAGGAAAAGGTATTTTCTTACTTAGGATGCTAAGTTCTTAATACAGTTCAGCTTTTTCATTTTTAGACTTGGTTTAAAAATGTGGTAGCTAATCTACATGTCAAAATAGCAATTTATAGCCATATTCATTTGGCATTATTTTCAGGATGTAAAACAGCTTAGTTTTAGTTGCAGAGTCACTTTCCTCCCAGTTGTTTTGTTTTCTTCTTGTCACTTTTTGAATTAGTCCCTCTCTCACCTCCTTTTCTGTCATACATTCCCCGCCACTTCTCCCTCATTCCCCATTCTCTCTTACTCCCTGTCCTCTATAATTCCTCTTCTCCCTCTTACCTTCCTTGTCTGCCTGCTTTTCTTTTTTCCTCTCTTTGCCCCTTTCATCCTTCCTGTGTTCTATGCAGATAAAACAGATAACATAGTTTATTGCTGTATCCCAGTGCTTACCTTAAGTATATCTAACCAATATTAGACCCTTACTATCGATGTATTTGCCAAATACTAAGTGGTAGAATTTCACAGATGAGAAAGGAATTTCTTACTCAGTTTTTTCCTGGCACCTGTGACAATTCAATTTTTATAAACATTATTGTGAATCTATTATATGCCATAAACTGTTTGATTCTTGAATCACAAAGACGAGACTAAGATAGAGACTCAGCCCTCAAGAAACTTACAGTATGATGTACAGAAAAGGAGCTGATACACAGAAGAGGAGCACTTGTAGCCAACCAGGGAGCTCAGGAAAAGCTTGCTGGAAGGGTGATGAATAAAATATTGCAAGATAAATACAAGTTAAAAAGGCAATAGTAATATGAATATACTTACCTTATAATTAAAAAAGTTATGATGAAAAGATTTATATTGTCTGTATTATCTGACAATTGGGGAAAAAAAAAAGAGTAGGAAGGGCATTCCAGGTAGAGAGAAAAACTAAAAACTAAAGCTTAGAAAGCTATAATGACATCTAGTCCTTTCAAATGCCTGGTTAGTAATTTTAAACTGTCTTTCTTTTTCTATCTTCTTTTCAGAGTTGGGTATCAGAAATTACGAAAGAAGAAAATAAAATACATGCTTATGAAACCAAGACTTTCCCAGCTGAAGATAACTTGCCTCCAGTACGTAGTTCCAACAGCCGACTTCACACTAGCAAGGTAGGTTGATTTGGTGTGGGGTGCGGGATGTGGGCTGTAGGAGACATTTGCAGTGGTTGCTGCCTTATTAAGAGTGCTGTTGTGCTTAGTCAAAGTTGCCGAAGTATCGTGTTCTGAGTTGAGCTGGGACGGTCTTCAGCGGGCTGTGTGCTATAACCTTCTGGAGTAGGCTGTTTTTATTCCTGGGTGATCAAAATGTATCAGCTTTTTCCTTGAAGACTTGTGTCTTGGGTTTACTGTCTTCCCTTATTTTGTTGTTGTGCTCTCTCTTCTACTCTGGCCAGTTTTGATGAGCATGTACAATTGAATTGAGTGTGTGTGAATTTCAGGGAATAATTCACTGTATCTAGTAGAGGTAGAGAGGAACTATTTTATTACATCTAGCAGTTTCAAGTGTTAGTCGTCTGTTTAGCTCATGTCTTTCTTTATCCCTAACCCCTTATGAGTATTTTTGATGGTTGGTCCCTATTTTATCCTGTAGAGCTTTCCTTTTTAACCCAGGTTCCACAGAGAAGGGCCTGTTGGGGTTTCCAGATTCATTCTATTTTACTTCAAGTTGAAACTGAGTTTCTGACCCAGCTCATGCTCTGGGCCCTGGGAGTCTTTGGGCTTTCATTTGGATTACACGTTCCTTTCCCCCTGCCCTATGTTTTTTTTCTTTTATTCTCATAATTTTTAACAGGATGTAAATTTGTAAATTTGTAACAAGTCTTTTCATTCTAGATTAACGCATCCTTGTTGTTCTCAACTCTTCTTTGAATCTTCCATTTTATTTAAGACATCCATAGGGCCTCCCCGGTGGCACAGCGGTTGAGTGCTGGGTTGCCAAGCTGCCCGCAGCCTTCTGCAGCGCTGGTTCAATCCCTGGCCACTGGGCGAGGGTCCCACATGGCGCGCAGACCTCTCCTGCCGCCGGCTGCTCCCCTCAGCAGTGTACTTCGGTCCTTCTGCCTGCTCTGCTCCCCGCTCTGGCTCTGGTGGATTCTCTCACCTTCCCGCGCTTCTGACTGTACCCAGTGCTTGTATAAATAAATAAATAAATCTTTAAAAAAAAAAAAATTGGTAAACCAATGCTAATGTTACCTTAAAAAAAAAAATAAAAGACATCCATAGCTCTGTGACTGTGCTCCCAGATTATTTACTTTGCTAGATCTTTTTACTCCCCATAAGGAATTATTCAGGTAATGAGGTGAGGTGCACTGTAGTGTGTCACACTATCTGTAAGCAATGAACTTGTATTTCTTAGATATCGATTATGTGCTAAGTCCTAAAACATAACAATGAATAAAAGTTGATCTCTGCCCCCAAGGAATTTATAGTTCAGTGTGAGTGGGAGAGTGGGGGTGGGGATGGGTATACAGGCTGGTAACAGTAGTTCTCAAAGTATGGTCCATGGACCCTTAGAGTACCAGAGATCCTCCCAAAAGATCCAGAAAGTTAATTCTATTTTAAAAAATAATTGCTTTTTGTTTCACTGGGTGATGTTGCACTGAGGGTAAAGCTGCCGGTGCGTTAGTACACACGAAGGCTCTTTGCTAGTGTTTCCTCCACTGGTAGGCACTGGCAGCAAAAAATTCTAACAACCTAAAAATGTCCTTGATGAAACAATAAAACTTATTGTGTAAAATCTTGAATTTTGAGGTCACATTTTTAAATATTTTATGGGACTAACACTTCACTGTGAAGTGAAATATGATCATTATTATCTGCAGAAAAGCACTTGTGTGAGTTGCCAACTGAAGTGGCCACTTTTTCCTGAAACAGTTTTTATTCCAAAGAGTGATTGACAGACAAACTATGGTTATTCAGACTTGGGTTTAGTCAAACACTGTATTGAAAATGAGTGAAGTGAGCCTGTCATTTCTAGGAAACCAACTGACAGTGTTTTTTTGACACTGAGAAAATATGAGCTTTCAAATGCAATTTAGACTAGTTCGTGTTTTTATATGGTTCTTGGTTAAAGACATTTCTGATGTGCTCCATGAAGGTATTAACAGATAAGATTTTTTTGGCTATATCGTGAAATGTATAAATATCTGAAATATCTGCATAACTCCGAAAGACCAATGTACAAAGTTACAAAACTGTCTGGGTAAAGAAACCCATTCAAATTATTTTCAAATTATGACTTTTAAGAAACTATTTGTAAGCTTAATCACTTATTGTTTGCCCTCCTTCCTTCTGGAGCTGGCAGGGGGCATATGACTTAGGTTGGGTCACTTAATAGCACCAAGTTAGTACTTGGTGAGGCATAGGCACATGACCCAGGCTAGCCAGAGTCACTTTCCTTTTTCATTCTGATCAGAGACCTGTGAGGTAATAATTCCAGACTGCCTGTGGCCACATTTCCTATCACATGAAGAAAGCAAGTAGCCAGCAAGGATAACAAAATCAGTAGGCAGATACTAGGGACAGGGGGAGAGAGGTCATATGAATTCTTTCATCTAGCAACAAATCTGCTCTTTCATAAGTTTGGTTGCATAAGTTTGCATAAGCCAATAACTTATTTTTTGTTAATAGAATTAACCCAAGTTGGATATCTGTAATTATAAATAAAATATTTTTAATAAAGCAAAGCAGTTATTATTTCCCTAGTGCCTAGGTTTTGAAAGAAAAAATGATAGTCTAGTGCTTTTGGATAATCAAAAATCAGTAACAGTCACATTTCAAACATGTGTTTTTAAACTTGGCATCTGTACTTCAAGTACTGTAGATTGTTCTCCAAGTAGCTACAAATTTTCAATACTTTTTAAACATGCTAAATATGATTATTATGTCAGTAATTATTTTATAGTTGTGATAGCTTTCTAATTCACCAAATTTAAATATTTAATAATTCACATTTTATTCATTTATAGTAAAATTTGATCTTGTATTAAATACGTATCATAAAATATGATTTATTCTTTCAGGAAAAAAATTCTAAAAATAGACCAGCTAAAAAGAAAATTCCAAGGGATTATGCAGAGTGGGATAAGTATGTTTTATATATCTTTATATAAAATTTGTCACTGAAAATTTTTCTTTGATAAAATATAATTTCTTATTATAAATATGTTAAACATATCAAAAATACCAGATTACGTCAACAGAATACTAAGAGTATCTGGTTAAAGCACTTTTAATCCTTTTATCAGTTAATAAAGAATTACTGCCTCCTTTGGTTTATAAAAGTGACCATAAAGAACTAATGTAACCCATCTACCTACCCATAGAAAAGTGTGAAAGTTTTAAATTGATAGAAATTGGTCAGAGTTTTAATTACAAGGTTCTGAATAGTTTATGTCTGATTAATATTTAAGTTGTCACTAATTTGCTTGCTTTCAAAGAGAGAATACAGATGACTTGTAATATTTTTTGGAACATGTATTTAAAGGCACAGTGATACAAATGCAAGAATATCAATAAAAAATTTTATTTCTTTGCTCATATTATATTTTTTTCAATTTTTATTGTTCTTTCATTTAAGATTTGATGTGGAAAAGGAATGTTCAAAAATTGATGATGATTACAAAGAAAAGACTGTGGTAAACAACAAGTCACATTTGTCTAAAATTGAGACAAGAATAGATATAGCAGGTAACTAGAGAAAAATAAGCGTATTTAGTGGTATTTAAATTTCTTGATTAAAATTATGTAAAACATACGAGTTATAATAAAAGCTGTCAGTATGAAGACATTCTCTTATAAATGCTCCAGATTTTCATTAAAAGTTTAGATTACCCCCTAGAAACTTGCACATTTCTAATAAATTTAATTATATTATTTAACTTATTATTTATTAACTTTAATTTTACATGAGTAATGCTTATAATTAAACTTAATAACATGTAAAGATATAAATCTAATTTTTATCATGGTTAATTTGTTTAGTGTTTGTTTCTCTGAATCCTCCAACTTTTTTTCCTCCTTGTTTTCCCTTTTGTCTCAAAACAAAAATATGGAGCAGATTTTTTTTTTTTAAGTCCGTGGGTGCATAGAACCATTTAAATGAAACAAAACCAATCATAAAAAATCTAAAACCTCAAAAATTGCAAATAGTTAAGGAGAAGAAATATCCTAAGCTTAGGGCACTTTTCATTTTATTTTACAATTTCCTGTTTCTGTTAAAATGAGCATTTTTGTATTCAAAGTTTTTAGAAATATTTACAAGTATATTTTTACTTATAGCAGATGACATTTATTTCTAGGCTTAACTGAGAAGGAAATCGCTTCTCTTGCTGTTCGTGAAAAAGAAAAAGGAAATGAAGCTTTCAATTCAGGAGATTTTGAAGAGGCTGTGATGTATTATACAAGGTGATCATAGTTTTGTTGTGGTTTTAATTTCCTAATTAAAAATGGATATTGTTCAAATGTAATTGTTGAAATTGTTATGGAGCAGCCCTGATATAAAACGGGTTGCCTGGCTGTGGGTCCTCACCCGCGCGCTTAAAAAGGGACTTATTAATACTCCATTACAGGCACACACAAAAGGTTAATAAAAGGTTTATTTACAAGGGAAAGGGAAATGAGGAAAATGTACAACTCAGGGAGAAAATAGGGAAATAAAGTCTTTAATGCATCCTACCCAATCCGACGACCTGGAAACCCAATGGCACTTGCAGAGCTGGCTGAGGCTGCGAGCTGGCGGAGAGCCAAAAAGGGCAACCCCCTCCCACCTCCCCGCCAAAGCCCACGTGTCTGGTTTTATACCAAACCTGGCTGCTTAACTCTACCCTCAGGTTCCAGCCACCTTCCCTTTGGTGGTGATGGGATTTGTCTTTCCCAATGACCTGATGGCTTTGGTCTGGAGTGGGGGTGGAGTCCACAAAGCCTGTATGGAATTAGCCTTAGGACATCCTTTTCTCCCTAACAAAATGATATAATAAACCCAAATAGCATGTGTTACTCAAGACACACTCAAAACACACAGAATCACTCAAGACATTTTACTTATTGTTTATCATGCATTCATTGTATTTACCTTGTTTTTTCCAATACTTTTCTCAAACTTCCAACCTCCCATGTGATCCCCATGTCCTAATTTCCCTAATCTTACAGAGAAAATAAAAACCTTCTGAATGGACAGAAAGTTCATATGGTATTGAGATTAGGAACTGGAACTGGATTCCACAGTCAGACTGCCTGGGTCTCATCCTTGCACTTATGTTGCTTCCTCCATCACAGGGTCGTTTCATATGCTAGGTCTCTGTAATACTCTTGTTCTCATTATCGCGTTAATTCTAATTTATCTTTCGGATGTCAGCCCACATCTCATTTTTTTCTCCTTAGAGTTAAATCTACATGTAACCAAACTATTTTGTGTATTAAAACAGTAACACTGTGAAAAATAATACTAATTATGATTAATTGCTGCATTTTTTTGTACTAGGAAATTATCTCCAAAGTCTCAAAAAATGTGTTTGATATTTCCTATTAACTAAACTGTTTTTATAAGTTCCGTGGGTATTTAAATCCCCATCTCACCTCTAAAGCCTGAGTCAACTTTAAACCTCTTAACTGGATATTAAAACATCTGTCTAAATAATGTTTTAGTGTGTTTATAGAATTGTATTTTGATGATGCAGATTAACTGAAATATCAGATTTTGATCAGCTTATAGCAATTGGTTATAGCCTGAGTGTTAGAGCTTGAATGTCACAGCAGAAGTGTTATAGCTCTTATAGCAAAGGTTCAGGGGCTTCAAGGACTACCTTTGGTGCAGGGGGAGGAGAATCTAGGTATACAGAACACTTAAGCTGAATGCCCAAGGTGCTCTGTGGGAAGCATACTTATATAGGCAAGGGGTGAGAGTAGGTCTACTTTAGCCAAATAAGGGTTTCAGCTATTTCAGTTTTGATTGGCGAAAAGTGTGTCGTGCTGTGATTGGTTGACTTTCCATGCTGGACAAAGCTTGCCTGAGGAGTTTCATTTTCTTCTCTGCTGTGGACTTCTCTGCACATACGCCAACATGGTAAAGCCTGGACATGCCTGGAACCAGACTCTCAACAGCCTTCTTATTCCAGTTGTTATCCAGTCTTGGCAGGGTTCCATATTTGTTTTTCAAGACTATATTAGTTTGCTAGGGCTACCCTGACTAAATATCACAGACTGAGTGGCTTAAACAACAGAACTTTATTTTCTGGAGATCAAAATTGGCTTCTTTTGAGGTCTTTCTCCTTGGCTTATAGATGGCTGTCTTCTCCCCAGGTCTTCATGTGTGTGTCTGTGTTCCAGTGTCCTCTTCCTGTAAGGACACCAGTGATATTTGATTATTTGATGACCTCATTTTAATTTAATCACATCTTGAAAAATTCTATCTCTAAATATAGTTATATTCTGGAGATTAGGACATCCCCATATGGATATTGGGATGGGACATAATTCTTCTCATAACAGCCTGTTATTGTTTTATTTACAACTTCAGCTGAGCCTCTGTATCTTCTTATGTTTACCTCTCATCTACTTGTTGCCAATAAGTGTCTCTTTTATAGAAGCATCTCAGTGCTTCCCACAGTAGTGGCTTACAACAATCGTGCTCAAGCAGAACTCAAACTACAGAACTGGAACAGTGCTTTTCAAGATTGTGAAAAGGTCTTGGAACTGGAACCTGGAAACTTAAAGGGTAAAAAATATTCACAGTATGCTTGAAAATTTACAGCAGGATCTATAAAGATCATTTGTAGATACTTATTATATCTATAATAAAACTATTTCAGATGAGCTTGAATTTCTATGTGAAAACTGCATTACCTCCATATAAGTTACTTTAAATTTCAAGTTTAACTTGCACTATAAGTCCTTGATTTTTTTCATTAAAATAGCTAGTTTTCAAAAAATTGACTAAAACATATATGCATTTTTAAAGAAATACCTCAAAATGGCTTTTAAACTATAGATGTTTTTTTCTTTCAATTTTTTAAACTTTTGGTAAGATACATGTAACATAAAATTTACCATTGTAGTTATTTCAGTGGCACTAGTACATTTATTCTGAGCTAAATTTGAATAAAAGGTTTCTAAGTTTTCACAAAGCAATGAAATAATACTAGATTATAAGGAGAAAAACATCATTGTTTAGTAAGAACTCTCCATTATTGGGCCTCCCCGGTGCTGCAGTGGGTTGAGCGCAGCCTCTGCAGTGCGGGTGCAATTCCTGGCGGCCAGGGAGATTCCCACATGGCGTGGCAGACCTCTCCGGTCTCGCCCGCTGCTCCTCTCAGCAGTGCTTTGGGTCCATCTGCCTGTTCTGCTCTCTGCTCTGTCTCTGGTGAATCCTCTCACCCTCCCGCGCCTCTGGCCTATACCCCAACTCTTACGTAAATAAAATAAATCTTAAAAAAAAAAAAAGAACTCTCCAATATTGTGGCACAGCATGGTACATCTGAAGGATTGAGGTGTGTTGTTTCTGAGGCCTTGGTAGCTGTTGGGGCATGGGGCTGCCAGAGGGCCTGGTTGTTGGAGAGGACAGTTGCGTGATGCAACCTCTTCTCTCTGCCTTGGTGTTATTTTCTATATGTGTAGTACCGGCAAATGGGTGTAGTTAAGCTTTGTACCTTTTTTTTTTTTTTTTTGCATCCTAAACAATCCTGTGCTACTTATGTTCTTCCACTGAAAAATATGTTATAAATATAACGGTCTATGTCTACAAATAACACTTTTATTTTGGTAAATTCTCAGCTCTTCTGCGCCGTGCCACTACGTACAAACATCAGAACAAACTCCAGGAAGCTTTAGAAGATTTGCATAAAGTACTGGATTTTGAACCTGATAATGAGTTGGCCAAAGTAAGTGTAGAAAGTGATTTTTTTTAACATCAAACTATAGTTTGCTATTTCTGTATTTATGTTACAATGACATTAATCTGGCTGAAAAATGAGGAAGATGATAAGATCACTTTAAAATGTCTCAGACATTCTGAAGTGTTAACATCTATTTGAATGCAGTGTTATAGGCAATACTTTCCTCAAGTTAATCTCAATTTATTATGCAGAGTGGCGTAGAAGTTTTCCAGGTAGGATTAGGCAGTAGCTTGAAGCCCCTACAAGAGTGTTTCACCTGTAACTCGCATGATAAGCACAGCAGTGTAGACAGCATGCACCACCCTTTGCAGACTGGCTCAGGTATTTACTGAAAGGAATCTGTATTAAGACCCAAAGAGCAGAGAGAAGTGTCAGGGCCTGTAAAGTATCTGAGACTCCTGGGTCATATACCAAGTACTTTGTTACCAAAACAAGCCAATGAGTTCATGTCAGTCCCTGTGCCTCCATGTCCCATGGGGGTGATGAGATTGACCCAGATTGATGCCACACACTCACTGAGTTTGTGTCACATCTGAAGAATGCCAAGTTAAGGAAACTCCCATCCTTTATAATGAGATACAAGCAAAACTGCCAAGCATCTGTTCCAGAGGGAAATATTTAACTGGAAAGCAAATAAACTTGTTTCTCCTCTGAAGGGAAATACTGTATTTCACAAGACTGTTTTCAGTAAAAATATTCTTAAAAGACAGTCTAGACTGCAGGCGGTTTAAGTGCCTCTGCTTGTTAGCATGCAGGCGAGGGGTACCCAGAGACCCCGGAGCCTGTGCACTCCAAAATGGAGTCAACAATTTACCATGTAAAGACAAAGCAAATTCACAGTATATTGATCTTTATAGAATTGGTGTGCATAGAGAGAAAAGAAGAAAGGATATTCCAAATAAAACACTCAAAATACTTAGCCAAACAGGGCAGATGTGAAGCAGGACCCCTGAGGCCTGAAAGCTTGCCCCACATCTAAGGAACTTTCTGACAGAGAAGCATACAAGAGGGGTTCTGAAGCAGGTCCCAGAAAACAGGAACAAAAGGCAATACCACATCAAAAGAATGACTGCCATTGTTAGCCTCTCCATGTTATCTCTCTCACCAACATCTCTTCCAAGTGTCTCTACATGTCTCTCCTCCCATGTCTCCTTCCCAGCAGTACCAGGGTACAGGTTAGGCCACAGGAACAAAGTGCTCTTCCTTAGCCCACCTGACTTCGTTGTTACGTAGCTTCACTTGGCTGCTCAGCCCCCCTGCCACTAGCTCCCAGTAGCACACTAGGACCTGTAGCACAAAGCAACTGCATGTAGGTGGTGGTGGTGGGGGCGGGGGGCATGGCACGTCCCCTAACATGCTCACAGTATATTTAGAAATGTGAGGAACCCAACATCTTCTAACAATAAATTGTCACTAAATTTCTACATACACCTACTAAATTATTTATCTCATGCTGAATGGCAGCTAATGTGTCTAGTATTTCAGCAGCATTTGTCAAGTTAGTATTTCAGCAGATTAGGTTTAGGTCTCATTTTGGAATACATCTTTTCCCTGTAGTATTTCCTTTTTATGATGGCATATTAAAAAGTTAACACAGTTCTAAAAGTAAAAATTTGAAACAAGGAAAATCACCTTTGATTTCACTACCTAGTAAAATCTCATGTTTATATATTAACTATTAGAACTTGTTCAAATGCATTTTTATCTTAACCTTATACAAACATTAACTCTAAATGGATCCATATACCTTAATGTAATGCCTACGATATAAAATTTCCAGAAGGAAATATAGGAGAAAACTCTTAAAACTCAATAGTAAGAAAACCAAATGAACAGGCACTTCACCAAAATAGAAATGTAGTTGGAAAATAATCACATGAAAAGGTACCCAATATAATTAATAACTGAGAAAATATAAGTTAAAACAAGAGATAGCACTACAAACCTGTTAGAATATTAAAATTAAGTCATTGACCATACCAAATGTTGGCAAGGACATGGAAAAACTGAAACTCTTGGTAATATAAAATGATACCACCACTTTGGAAAACAGGCTAATCATTTCTTGAAAAGTTAAACATAAAATCATATACTACTGTAGGATCCACTATTCCACTCTTAAGTATTTCCACAAGTAAAATACAAGCAAATGTCCATACAAACATTTATGCTCAAATGTTCATAAGGGCTTTATTTGCAATTGTCCCAAACTATTGTCCTTCAGCAGGTGAATGGATGAACAAATTATATTCATACAAGAGAATATTGTTCAGCAATATAAAGTGATGAACTATAGTATAGATAGATAGATAGATATAAAACATGGTTGAATTTCAAAATAATTATGCTGAGTGAAAAACAATTGAGATTACAGATAGTATGATTCTATTTATATGAAGTCTTAGAAAATGCAAGCTGTCATGACAGAAAGAACAGTGGTTGCAGGGAGAAGCAAAAGTAGGTGATATTACGAAGAGATAGCAAGAAACTTTTGAGAATGATGGATATATTTACTATTATGTCCAAAAAATCTATCTTCATTTTTAATTTCCTGTGATTTATATCAACTAAACCTTAGTACGACTGTTAAAAATGAGGAAGGAAAATGGTTTATTATATATAATATATATTGTAAAAAATAAATACTTTTTAATCTAGCTGGCATGAAATATAAAGCTATATCAACATTGCTCTAAAAACAGCATGTGTAGTATGATTTAACTAGCATAAAACTACACCTTTGTGCATATTATGCATACGAATATATCTAGGGGACCTCCCCGGTGGCACAGCAGTTGAGTGCTGGGTTGCGAAGCTGCCCACAGCCTCTGCAGCGCCAGTTCGATCCCTGGCCACCGGGTGAGGGTCCCACATGGCACGCAGACCTCTCCTGCCGCCCACTGCTCCCTTCAGCAGTACTTCATCAGTCTGCCTGCTCTGCTCTCCCCTCTGGCTCTGGTGAATTCTCTCACCCTCCCGTGCTTCTGACTGTACCCAGTGCTTGTATAAATAAATAAATATATCTTTAAAAAAATAAAGAAAGAAAGAATATATCTAGGGTCATAAGAATGCCAATAGTGTTATGTGGATGGCAGAATTTCAGATATTTTCTTTTTATATACTTATTAACATTTTAAACTTTTTAGTGGACTATGATTATAAACAATGCTGTGAAGTTGTTTGAAAAAGTAAAACAAAACAAAGACCACCATACAAAGGCTTATCTTAGTTATCTTTACTTTTTAATATTTTTATCTTCTTACCTGAATGTTTGTTTTCATTAAAGAAAAGTGTTTGATATGGTGATTATGTTGCAGAAAACCTTGTCAGAAGTTGAAAGAGATCTAAAAAATTCTAAACCTGCATCTCAGACTAAAACCAAAGGGAAAAGGATGGTTATTCAGGAAGTAGAAAACTCTGAAGATGAAGCTGGAAAGGACAGTGAAAGAAAACATGACGATGGCAGTGGAGACAAAAGTAAAACATCTTTTTTCTTTTGGTTATGCACAACACTGCCTGTTCATATGATGAACTGGCTCAAATTTTCCCTTCTGTTGGTACAAAATTCTTAGAATGCCAAATGTTTTATAGCTTTATCTTATAAATTCACCTCACATGGGTTAGAAAGGCTATTATCAAAAGACAAGCAATAACAAGTACTGGCCCGTTTGTGGAAAGAGGGCACCCTTGTGTACTGTTGGTGAGAATGTCAATTGTTGAAACCACTATGGAAAACAGTGTGGAGGTGCTTCAGAAAATTAAAAATAGAACTACCTTATGATCCAGCAACTCCATCTTTGACCAAGTATATACTCAAAAGAAATGAAACCACTATCTTAAAGAGTTATCTGCACCCCAGTAGTTCATTACAGCAATATTCACAGTCACCAAGATTTGAAAGTAACCTCAGTGTCCATCTATCAATGACTGGATAAAGAAGTTGTGGTATACATATACAATAAGATACTATTCAGCCATAGAAAAGGAAATCCTTCTTTGCCTTGAGGACATTGTGCTAAGTGAAATAAGTCTGACAGAATGATAAGCACCTTATTGTATTGTAGCATACAAGGCTGCTTTCAAGTTAGACAAGAGTAGGCCACTTGCTTGCCTTGGGGCAATACTGATGGGCTTTGTGCCCCAGGGACTGATCACTGGAACACCTTGTTAATAAGACTGGAGCCATGTGTGGGAGTTAGGTGTGTACTCACCTTCCCTAAAGCCCAAAATCCAGTGTTCAGTTTGACCCACCTTTTTCTATCAATAAAAAGGCCAGGATCCTGCATCGAGCAGCATTCTGCATCCTACAGCTTGCAGGGAAAAAAAAAAAAAATTGGGGCTTTAGGAAGGGTGAGGAGATAAACAAACAGGAAAGGGCTAATCATTTAAAAATCAGAAGTAGTACTATTACTCTTGTGATTAGAAATCTGTAATATTTAAAAGACTGATAAAATATTTCTTTCTGCAGATTATTCCTAACATCAGCCCCATAGAAAAGCAAATATTCACATTCATTTTTCCAGACAACCATAAATTTTAGGGAACTATTTCTGATCCAGTCAGTCAGGGCTCCTTCTCTAATAATTTTGTAGATTAGGAATATATAAAAATAGGTAAGATTCTGGTAACAAAAATATCTTGTTAGGAAGAATATAAATTTTAAGACTAGTATGTTCCCTTTTGTCAGTAAAGCAAATCAGAATGAGGTGGAGTAAATAAAGTTGATGGGACTTTCTTATGCTCACCTCTTCTGCATTCCATTATAAGTGACATGTACAAAACAGGTCCTGGCGCCTTGCACGAAAGAGGAGACATCCAAATCACTTTTAGGAAAATACTGTTAAAGCCCACATGGAGGTTATAAAGTTGGAATCTTTGCATGTGGTTTCCTATCCCATCACATTCCAAGAAAGAATTCTTAGTCATTATGGGGTATGATGCAGGAAAATACATGAATTAGTGTTTTGTAACCTAGGCCGACAATGCTGCTCACCTGCGCACTCCATTTGGGCTGGCCAGGCCCAGTTCATCAAGACTGAGGTATAGCATAACCAGTGGGCTTAACAGCTGATTCTGTGTCAAGTACTAAGATAAGACAATTGTTAGATTCTTGTTATCTGTCCTTTTAAGGACTACAATGGAGACATAGCTCCCTATTTCCCTGCCTGATTAGACTTGGGGATTTGAGTTTGTGTGCTTTCTTGGAAACTCCCCAATCTATTTGTTTTCCCTTTGGGGAGAGTGCATAAAGAAATAGCCATCAGCATACAACCATATCTGTTAGAAACTTTGGTATTTGTTCTTTCTCCTTACAGAGTCCATGAGAAGCAATCAGAGGAAAGTAAGTGCCTGGCCTCTCTGTAATGCTGTTGTTTTTTCCCACTTAAAAATTAAGTATAGGAAAATTAAATTGTCACCCACAAGCAGTAGAGATATTTCTCTTTTCCTGGAATTGGCAGCATCAGGAATACAGAAATATATGGGGATTCAAAGAGATAAGATAATAATAAATAAAATATAAAAATCATAAAGGGGAATGATTCTGATCATGTGAAAATGAAAAATCCATATAGGTCAGTACCACTAAAAAAATGAAAAAGCCAATGACAAACTAGGAAAATAGCAAGAGGTTGATAACTATATGAAGAGTTTTTACAAAAGAGTAAGAAAAATTTTAAAAGCCCAGTGCCAAAATGAACAAAGCATATGAACAGCTACATCCAGGAAATGTATATGATCAATAAATTTTGTATTGCTAGTAAAAAATGAAAATATAGAATCTTTTTCCCCCCATTGAATTGGCCAAAATGGGGGGAAAAATCCACCTCAAAGTATCCTTTGTTGTCAAGGATAAGGTAAAATAAGCACTTTAAAAAAACTTGATTTATAATTTATATATCATAAAATTCATTCTTTTCAAATTCAGCAGATTTTAGTATTTTTACAAGGTTGTGCAACCATTGCTACTGTGAAATTCATGAACGTTTTTATCATCACAGAAATAAATCTCATACTCACTAGCATTCACCAGTCTTCCCTTCCCCTGGCAGCCCCTGACCTTTTTTCTTTCTCCTTTCCTGATGTAAATGGAATCATATGATATGTGGCCTTTGGTCCTAGATTGTCTCACTTAGCATAATATTTTCAAGGTTCATTCATGCTACAGCATCTATCACCATTCATTTTTATTCCATTCCATTGCCTGCATAATACCACATTTTCTTTACTCATTCATTAGTTGCTGGACATTTGGGTTGGTTTGACTTTTTGTCTTTTAGGAATAATGTAGAAAGCCTCTTTGGTGTGTGTGTGAACATATGTTTAAAGTTTCTGGGGTATATTTAAGAGTGGATTGCTGGGTTATATGGTAGTTATATGTTTAACTTCTTGAGGAAATGCCAGACTGTTTTACAAAGTGCTACATCATTTTTTTTTCTTTTTAAATAACATTTTATTGATTTACATTTAGTTTACAATGCTATGTAAATTTTGGAAATACAACTTCACACCTCTTTATGTGTGAACCTCACTGCACCCGCCACCAAATTGGTAGTGCTATTCCCATTAGGAGAGAGTCTCCTTCTACCCTTGTATCTACCTCCTTTCCTCTCTGTTAACCATCATAGTTTTCATAGTCTAGAGTTATTTTTGTGGCTACATCAATTTGTATTCCCACCAACAATATATGAGGATTTCAATTTCTTCACATTCTTGCAAACAGTTGTTATGGTTTTACTTTTTGCTTATAACTATCCCATGGGGTATGAAGTACTATTTCCTTATGGTTTTGAATTTCCCTAGTGACTTATGATATTAACCATCTTTTACGACCATTTGTGTATCATCTTTGGAAAGTGTTTATTCAAGTCCTTTGCCCATTTTAAATTAGGTTGTCTTTTTAGTGTCACATTGTAACTCATCTTTATATATTCTGGATACAAGAACTTTATTAGATATGTGATTCGCACACAATTTATTCATTCTGTGGATTATCTTTTTATTTTCTTAATAATATTTTGATGCACAAAAGATTTTAATTTTGATGACATGCAATTTATTGGTTTCTTCTTTTGTTGCTTGTACTCTGATGTTATAGATAAAAATCATTTGTGAAATCTAAGGTCATGTTGAATTACCCCTATGTTTTCTTGTAAGATTTTTATGGTTTTAAGATTTTAAAAGGTTTTAACCTTTTCTCTAGGTTACTGATTTATTTTGAATAATTGAGGTAGGAGGGAGTCTATTCTAGTTCTTTTTTTTCCAGCATGTAAAAATCCAGTTGTCCCAACATCATTTATTAAAGAGACTATTCTTCTTCATTGAATGGAATAGTCTTGGCATCTTTGTCAAAAATCAGTTTCCCATGATGTTTTAAGTCTATTCTGTCAGTCTTTCTGTCTTTATGCTGACATCACACTTTTTTTTGTTACAAAATCTTGAAATCAGAAGTGTTGATGTCTTTGATTTTGTTCTTAATTTTCAAGTTTGTTTTTGCTATTCTGGGGACCCTTGCAATCTCACGTGCATTTAAGAATCAGTTTTTTCATTTCCATGAAAATAGTGTAAATTTTGATAGGGATCATGTTGAGTCTTTAAATTGCTTTGGGTAGTATTGATATCTAAACAATAGTAAGTCTATCCATGGTCACATGCTATCTTTCCATTTTATATATGTCATGTTCAATTTCTTTCAGCAATATTTTGTAGTTTTCATAGTATAAGTCTTTTATCCTCTTGGTTAAATTATTCCTATATTTTATTCCTGTGAATGCTATTGTAAATGGAATTGTTTTTGTAATTTTCTTTCCAGATTGTCTTGCTAGTGTATAAAACAACTGATTTTTTTTTTTAAGGATTTATTTATTTATTTATACAAGCACTGGGTACAGTCAGAAGTGGGGGAGGGTAAGAGAATTCACCGAGCCAGAGCAGGGAGCAGAGCAGGCAGAAGGACCGAAGTACACTGCTGAGGGGAGCAGCGGGCGGCAGGAGAGGTCTGTGTGCCATGTGGGACCCTCCTCCGGTGGCCTGGGAGCAGCCGGGGATCGAACCGGCGCTGCAGAGGATGCAGGCAGCTTTGCAAGCCAGCGCTCAACCACTGCGCCACCGGGGAGGCCCAAACAACTGATTTTTTTATATGCTGATCTTGTACCCTGAAACTGTTGAATTTGCCTGTTCTAGCAGTGGTTTGATTTGTTTGTGGATCTGTTGGGATTATATTTCCCAAATAATCTCTATATAATCATGTTGTCTGTGAGTAGAGGTAGTTTTACTTCTGCCTTTCCAATATGGACACCTTGTATTTTACTTGTTTCATTGAGCAGGCTACAACTTCTAGTACAATGTTGAGTCACTAACAAGAAACACTGCATCTTTATCTTGTTCCTGATCTTAAGGGGGAAGTTTTCATGATTTTAGCATTGAATTGTTTGTTTTTCATAAATGTACTTTATTATGGTAAGAAATTTCGCATCTGATCTATTTTTCTGAGTGTTTCTTTTTTTTTTCTTTATGAAAGGGTATTGGATTTTGTCAGATACCTTTTCAGCATCAGCTATGATCAGGCATCTTCCCCTCTCAGTCAGTGTGGTGTGTTGCATAGATTTATTTTTTATTGTTGAGCAATATATTCTTATGTTCCTGAGATAAATCCCATTTGGTCATGGTATATAACCCTTCTATTATTGTTTTGAGGATTTTGCATCTATCAATTGCCCAGAAAACCCCATCCAAGACTTCTGAAGTCTGTGATTTTTAACCCCATTGTGCTAATGACTCTTTCGCCCTTATGCAGGTGACATTATTAGTCATTTCTTCCATTTGTTATTGTTGATATTTGATATTGTTATTGTTGACTACTTGTTTGTCTCTCATTTCCTCCCCCTCCATCCCCCATGTCCACTGGAGATTCTTCCTCTGATCATCCTATACATTAAGTATTTCTCGGGGATCTTTGGAAGATCTGAATGACACACTGCACTCAAACTTCAGTGTTTATTTATATACCACGAATTCCAAAGTCAAGGTTTTTAGATAAGGCCACTCCTCTGTTCTGCCTTTGGAATCACCTTCTGAAGTGCTCCTCTGGTATGTCCCTTGAGTAGTATAATACCAAACAGGACTCACAGGTTTGTCATGTTTGGGCCTCTGTTTTCCTTTGCAGAGACTGGCACAGTTGTTCAGTCTTAATGAAAGAGGTATGACTTTGCATTTAATTCATTTCATTCAAATCCTGGTTGTGCCGGTTTCCTGCTCTCTGTGCTTGAGAGAATTCCTAAGCTTCTTAAGTGTCTCCATTGTCTCATTTGTAAAGTGGGGATGATAATACTTGATATGAGGATTAATGATAATGGGAAATGGTAATGTATGTAAAGGTTTTGACCTATATTAAGTTCTTCATAAACTGCAGCTAGTTAGTAATAGTGTTAGTCAAACATAAGGGGATAATATACATGGAAATGGAAAATATTAATACCAAGTTGTCCATTGTTTCTGCTTACACCGACTCATGTTTCCATCCATTTTTATGCTGGGTGGGAACCTGAGTAACAGATACCAGATGATGAAGGGTGGAGCTTGTTCTAATAGTCCTTCTGGGTCCAATCTGGGGCTGTATCACTAGGACATGATCTTTTTATTGTTTTAATAATTAAGTCTGTTGTTAGTGACCCAAAACTGGATGTTACTCTGTTGTATACAAATTTGTATTTATCAGCTATACTGTAGACATTGTATTTTTATACTCAGTGATTGCCTTAAGGTGGGCATCGACTGATTTTTATTTAAATACTTGTGTTTCCTGTGTCCTCTTTGTGTTTCAAATCCTATCATTAACATTCATAAAACAAAAGGGAAAATAGAGCCATTAAAGTCAGATTAAAAATTTTAAAAAGAGGAGGCTTGGGAGTCTGTTTTGAAATGATGAATAGCTGCTTTAATGTTATGACACCCATCAATGAAATATTTATACATCGTTTTCATATTTAAAAATAGTAGATTCAATTATTAAAGCTATGATTAGTAAATCAAGATCAGAGGAAGGTATTATAATGAAAATTTAGTCTTTTTAAGGCTCTCTTTAAACTGAACAGCCAGATGCCTATGTTATGTTGGCTAATTTCACCTTTAAATGTCTTAAAAATCACGTGGACCTTTTCTTTCAAATAATGTGTTTCTCCCAGGCCTTTAAAATAAGGGTATACTCTAACCCTGGCGCAATTATTATATGGAACGTTTTTTTTGTAATTTCATTCACTCATAATTGCAAATGAGAGAAAAGTACGTATTTTGTAAGACCCATGGCTTGACGAAGGACATCATTTTGCAATGTCACTAGCTCCTTAGCCTTTAAAGAGTTAAAATAAGGGGTTGGCTAGAGCGGGTAGCCCGGCACGCCCCGGGGACCCTGGCGCTCGCGGCCGGCGCGGTAAACCCTCCCGCGGGGGTGCCCGGGGAGGTGCCGGGGGCCACCCGGCCCCACCCGAGGGGGAGGTGTCCGCCGGGCGACCCCGCCCGAGTCCGCCGGGCGAGCCGCGGCCGCGCACCCCCGCGCCGCGCACCCCCGCGGCCTCCGCGGTAGTTCGTCCTGATGATGCAAACACTTCCCGCACCCACTTCCCCACAGAGGCCGCGGAGCCGGCGGGAGCCGGGCGCGCCCCCGAGCCGCGCGCCATGGGCAACATCCAGAAGAAGCTGGCGGGCCGGAGCGAGGCGGGCCGGCGGCCCGAGCGGGGCGCGCCGCGGCGGGGCCGGGCTCCGGGCGCCGGCGCGGACCAGCAGCGCCGGCCGCGGGCTGCGGCGCCGGCGCGCGGGTCCGAGGGGCTCCCGGACGGCGGGCGGGGCCCCGAGGACCCCCCGGGGCCGACGCGTCGCCCTCCAGCCCCGCTGCCCTGAAGAGCCTGGGCAACGCGCTCTTTAAAAGCGGGCAGTTCTCCGAGGCGGCGCTCAAGTACTCGGCGGCGATCGCGCAGCTGGAGCTGGCAGGTAGGGTGCGCGGGACCCCCGGGGCTGCGGCCGGGGGCGGGGGGGGCCCTCGGGAGAGGCGCGGGCGTCGTCGGCGCATTCCTGCCTGGTGACTGGGCCTCGGGGCGCGCGGGACCTCGGAATGCGTGACACGTGCCGGGGGCGAGGCGCGGTTAGTCGTGGCCCTTGCAGGCTGCGCCTCCGACCGCCGCTGGCACCGACGGCGCCCGCCGCCGCTCTGCCTTGTCAGCATCTGCAGGGCCGCAGGGCCATCAGGGGCCACCCCCGCCCTCGCCCCGTGATTGTGGTGAACTCTGTTTTTTGCCAACAGATTTTAACTGTTTGATTAAATCCGATTTTAGGAAGTGCAAGTGCGGAGGAGTTGAGTATCTTGTATTCCAACAGAGCAGCATGTTGCCTGAAAGAAGGAAACTGCAGCGACTGTATTAAGGATTGTAACAGGTAAACGGCCCTTATTCAGGTTTGTCAGGAGATTGTTGTCATTACAAGGTGATGATTGTGTGCAAAACTTTTCTGCACGAGTCTTCTTAAGACAGTTTTAAGGCATATTTGTTAATACTTGAAAACCTCAAATTCTTCAGCGTATCTGAAGACAGAAAAGAGGGTACGAGTGGGTGTTCACTTCCAGGGCCGCCACCATATTTCGTGTTCTTTTTTTCCTTGTCACTCCCAGAGTGCCGGAGAAACCCTCCAGTCTCTGTCTCCTCCAGTCTCTTGTTGCATCAGCCTAACCTTACCAGGAGCAGTGTTTTTTTCAGACTTTCAAACCAGGTGTCCATTGGCTCAAAATTGTCTTCCAGATAATTATTAAACCCTTCTGTTACCACACTGCCCCCCAAACCAGCCTTCTCTTCCAGGTGGTCCACTTTGGTAATGCTGCCTGAATACCTCTGCGTCTGAAATCCCTGCTCACCTGGGCCTTCCACTCTGCCTTCCTGGTGGCCTCAGGCTCTCTGGTCACTTGCATGGGTGCCATTCCCTGCACTGTCACTCACACTTGTGACTTCCACCGCACTGGGTTTTAAGCTCTGTGAGGTCAGGAACTATGTTTTATACAGCGTTGTGCCCATCCAGCACAGTAGTTGCCCGCCATGCTCTCTTAAGTTAGGTGCTGGGATACATGAATATACTTACACGAATAAAAAGGACTCTTTTCTTTTACCATTAAGTAATAACCTTGCTTCAGGACCTCTTTAGAAAGAAACTATTAATGCATCTAAAAAATAAGTTGTATGTCTTGGTTTGACTACCCAGTCTTGGTTTACTCTGTTGTCTGATATAATTATTAATGTTACCCCTTTTGTTCTCAGAATCCCTAGTTTAGACAGTATCTTATGTAGACATCCTAATTATAAAGTAAACAATATTATTTTTTTCATCGTGTTAGTTTATTGATATGGGTAAAACTTGCTAGTAGCTGTGCCTACAGTTTAAAAGGAAGGCCTTTCAAAGTGCTTGGGCTTTTTTGGTTTTTTGCCTGTTTTACATAATTAGTTTTAAAGTGAATATTACATGTTTTCACTTGACTTTAGACCCCATCCACTGTATTGTTGGCTCATACTAACCACAAAAATTGGTAGCTTGAAATCTGCCATGGTCGGAGTACTAATTAGACCATGAAAATAGGCAAATGGAACAAATCTGGGCTCTTTGTTCATCAGGAGAGCAGGTTGCTAATCCTTTACTGCTGCCCATGACTAGCCAACAAGACCAGGTGAATGTGCAGGGTGCCAGGCATGTGGTGATTTGCAGCCAAGACCCGCTTAGCTGTAATGTCTGTTGTTAAGGTATTACCCTTCAAACTTGTGTTAGATCTAGTGAGCCAGTTCAGGACTCCTTTGTTAAAAATTTGAACCCTATAGCCAGGGCAGCTGCAAAACAATGCACTCTCTTTGTACTTAAACGAAATGGTGTAAGGTGGCAGATCCTTCTGCCTAAAATTCATCGTGTTTCAGTGTAGGCCCAGGAGGAAGTCAAAGATGGCACTCCACCCACACTGTCCTGGGAGGCTAGAAAGGGGATTTGTCCTGGGGGAGAGCAGGAGAGCGTCTTCAAGGAGGGAGGTAGACTGCACTTTAGGTAAGAGCTGTGTTCTAGGCCAAGGAATCCAGCTCAGCTGGTCAGTACTGACTTCCATAGAGACCGACCTACTTAGATGTTTTCTTTGATATCTGACATAATGAGTTCCAGCATAAAGGGCATGGATTACTTTATTCCAAAGCAGTGAAGTCTCAGCTCATTTTAGTGCTAGGGAAACCATGACTTGCTTTTCCAAACATGTTGAAATATGGACGTACTTGAATTTGTATGAACTGGGAATAATTTATTAGCAGAAATATGACTGGGGAGGTTACTCACCTCAAGAAGATGTTATACGTTTTAAAGGAAGCCTGTTTTTTAGTTTTTCAGTTAGTTATCTTTGCTTTTTTTGGCAAGTTTTATATTCCATGGCCCAGATTACATGACAAATGGTAGTAGGAGCCAGACACTGAGGAGTTATACTGAGTACCATCCTGTACTGATGTAGGCATTGGCATATAGTGGTAGGGCAGGTAATGCCCTTGTTTCCTAAAACTAAAATTCAAAACAGCTGACGTGAACAGATGACTCCATGTGTCTTTCAGTTTCTTCATCTGCAAAATGAACCTACTCATATTTACCTTGCAGGGTTGTAAGCTTAAATGAGAAAGTTTTAGTGACCTCTGCCTATAGCAGATCCTCTGTCTACTTTTCTTTCGCCAAATCATTTTACACAGGAATGGGCAACAGATCTCGAGGACTATTGGAACAAACAAGTAGCGTGACCCTGAGTCTTGCAAATTAAGTGTCTGCTCTAGGAACTGCTGGTAGCACACGAGTTACCAAAGAGAACACATCCCAGTGTGCAGTCTGGGGCAGTTCATGGGTTTTATAGAAAGTACATTCTTCATAAGATATCTGCATGGAGTACTGTTTATGGTTTCAGTTAATTTTGTTAAAACTAAGAGTACAATAGTTTTCATTCGTAAACCCAGTCTTTTATTGTGTGCTTTACCTCAGAATATAATGGCGTGCATTTATTTGTGAAGTAACTTTAAATAGTCACGTCAAACAAAAACCAGGGAACATAATTTGAAATACATCTCTAAGTTTGGAAATACTGAAGTGCAAGATGAAAATTCACGACTTATTAAAAATGATAGTCTGCTTAGTTTCTTGATTCCCTTGTCTGTTTGGAAGCCCTTTGGTATCAAGTAAATCACAACAAACTGTTACCTTTCAGAGAGCTGGTTTTCCAAATGTAATTCAAATTTTGTGGTTCTTTGCTTAAATACCTTATTAAATACATTGGTGCAAAAAAGAATTTTCCTTTTAATCCATCATTAATAAGAACCAATTGAAAGCTTACTCTGTGTGTGGTGCTGGGCTGTTGGGACATCTGAAAGGAGAAGAAAGGAGAAGGGCACTAGGGAGGGGAGGGGTTTTGGGGAAGTAGGAGGGACCTTGGGGGAGGGGGTGGGTTGAAGAGTCTTCAGAGGGGAAGGTGTGTGGGGAGGGGTTGTGTGAGGCCCTCTTCCTGCAGCCTTGGAGCTTAATCTGGGGGGAGGAGGAGGAGGAGGAGTAAATGCCAGTGTGGTTCGGTATTGGTTTTAAAGAAAGGAAGTAACCACAGATTTGACTGCCTTGCTACTCTGGGTTTGCCTTTCTGGTATGTCACCAGGTCCCTAAGATGAAATATCAGGTATGTATGTCAGTATGGTAGTATACATTCAGTTAGTATAAGTTAAAGAGAGCATTTCAAAATAAATGATTTGTAATAATTTTTGTCTTTTTTTAGTGCTCTGGATCTTCATCCATTTTCACTCAAACCTCTCCTGCGACGAGCAACGGCCTATGAAACATTAGAGCAATATCGGAAGGCTTATGTGGATTATAAGATAGTGTTGCAAATAGACTATGGAATCCAGATAGCAAATGACAGTATTAACAGGTAACCTAATCTGAAGCAGTGACCTCAGGTCTAGTTGTTTTATAATGGAATTGGATTACTTTTATTCCCCTCCTTCAAGAGTGTTGACATCTTCTCAGCTATTTACTTTATGTGAATGCTTGCCTTCTTTCATGCCATTAAAATCAAATAATTCTCTCCAACTTAATTTCTGACTATCCCTTGATACACTTTAAGTTGTCCTCTAGTACCTTTTCATTTGTTTCCTCATCCATTTATTACTGTTCAGTAAATATTCTTTTTTTTAAATCACACAGGGTATAAATCTCTAGTGCTGCTGAAAAGCATGGAATTTCAGTATTTATAATACTACCAGTCACCTGCAGCTCTATTCTGTGGGCCCCAGGCCCTTTACCCCTGGGTGGCAATTTCCTGTGGTCTCTTAGGAGCAGACTTGCTTCCTCTAAGAAACTACTTTCCTGATCCACCCATCTCCCCCACCTCACATGCACTGAGGTTCCTCACTCTGTGTCCCCAGAACACTGTCTGTCATTACCCAGTTTCCATAGAGTTTGTAAATTCTCTGTCCCTCTCATTTTATAAAATTCTCTCGCTCTACTGGGAGTTTCTTGAGATCAGGACTGTGCTTTGCTCATCCTTGTGGCTGCTCTACCTAGTTTAGGAGAGACCCTCCATAAAACATGTTGAGAGAATGCGTTCTGCAGCTGGGAGAGGACCAAAGTTCACTCTTGTGCTTCGGGACTTTGCTTTTAATTTGACTATCCTCTGTGTGATGGTGTCTGAGATAGTTGGGGAAATAGGATCTTCTCACGGCATTAGGCATTAGGGGATCTAGTAAGACAAAGTGGAAAGATGCCTGAAATTCTCTGACAGAGGAGGGGCCTATTGAAAAGATATTTGAGAAAGCCTTTTGTATTGAGAGACTGAATGGTTTGAAAGAAGGAATATGCAAAAAAGACTTTGATTCCTCACATTTCTGAACTGTCTATGTTACGCTTTTTAAAGAAATAATTGAAGTAAAATCCACAAAACATAAAATTACTCATTTTAAAGTGTGCAGTGTAGTGGCCTTCTGGTACACTCACAGTGTCATGCCACCACCACCTCTCTCCAGGTGACCCCTGAACTATATGGGTTTGAAGTGTGCAGGTCCACTTAGATGCAGGTTTTTAAAAATATACTGGAAATTTTTTTTGAGAATTGTAACAATTTGAAAAAACAGACAAAACACGTAGCTAAGAAATACTGAAAAATGTTAAGACAATATTAGGTATGTCATAAATAAGATATATATGTAGAGATAGATAAATAGGTAGAAGAGGTCTATTTTGTTGACCATAAAATTAATACATTTGTTATAAAAGTTAAAATTTATGAAAATTTAGGCACACAGAGACCTTACATAGCCATTTGCAATTGAAAGAAATGTAAATAAATGTAAAGATGTGGCATTAAACCACAAACTATGAAATTAACTGTAGTGTTTACTATGCTTCTATAATAATTCTCTGGCCACTTCCTGTTGCTGTTGTGGTGACCTCAAGTGCTGTGTATCTTCACTTACATCTTTGTGTTATGCTAATCATCTCCATGTGAGCCTTTCATCTCTCCAGTATAGCACATTGTAGTAAAAGGTGATCTCTCAGATTCTCATGTTAAGTGTAATGCTGTGAACCCCGAAGAAAGCCATTGGTCCCACACAGTACACAACTAGTGATGCTGGAAGTGCTTCCAAGAAACAGAAAAATCATGACATTGAAGAAAAAGTTGATTTACTTGATAGGTCATTTTTAGTTATATCGGTCGTAGATACTGATAGATGATTCATCTTGTAAACACAAAGTAAACTTATGTTATCAATATAGATACCGTACCATAAATATATCTTCTCTTTGTTATGGTTTTCTTAGTAACCTTTTCTCTTCTGTAACTTGCTTTACTATAAGAATACAGTATATAATATACAAAATATGTGTTAATTGTTCATGTTACTGGTAAGGCTTCCATCATAAGAGGCTATTATTAGTAGTTAAGTTTTGTGGGGAGTCAAAAGTTACCCAGTCCATGAATTGTTTAGGAGTCAACTGTTGTTCTAAAACATTTCATCGCTCTAAGCAGAAACTGCAACACCATTATACAGTCACTCCTCATTTTGCCTTTCCCAACCCCTGGCAAGTTCTAATTTGTTCCTGTTTCTGGATTTAACTGTTGTCAATAGTTCATATAAGTGGAATCACACACTATGTACCTTTTGTATTTGGCTTCTTTTACTTAGCATAACGTTTTCAGAGCTCATCCATGGTGTACGATAGCGTGAGTACTTTATATCTTTTTATGGCTGACTAATACTCCCTTGTACAGCTACATTACATTTTGTTTAGCTGTTAGTCAGCTGATGGACATTTGAGTTATTAACACTTTCTGGCTATTGTGAATAGTGCTGCTGTGAATATACGCCTGCAGGTTTTTGTATGTAAACCTGGTATCAGTTCCTTTTGTTGTATACCTTGGCGTGCAATTGCTGGATCTTATGTTAATTCTATGTTTAGCTTTTGTATTTTTTTTACATATACTCCAAAACGTTCTTTTATACAAATTTTTAAGACTTTTCACTTTTGAAATTAAATGCTTCTTACTGATATTTTGTAAAATGAGACTTTGCTTTTGCCGTATCTATTTTCTACAAAATACTCATTTAAAAATTTCACTATTCCTTTGTATGAATCCCATATTTATGCTTGCTTTCCCTTCTAAGCAACAGCTGCTTCTTGTTGTTGTTTTATTTTTTTTTAATTTAAACATCTGTTTATTTTTTGTCTTCCATTAACCATATTCCTCTCTTCCTCTCCAGGAATCTTATATATTACATTTCCCTGCATATACTTATTTACTCCCTGGCAACACATCATCTCTTTTCAGCTGCTTCTTCCTTCCTCTCTGCTGGTAATACAAGTTTTGCTTGAAAATTCTATTCTCTAAAACTTCTTTTTCTTCTGCAGTAATGGGTTGTAGCATACCAATTTTCAATTTTTTCTGTATCAAATATGTAAGACTTGGTTATCGAAACCAAAGATTGCTATTGAAATTTCAGTTTCAGAAACTGTAGGGAAAGTATGTTATTATATATTCGTCTATAGAAATATAATTTTTTTCACTTACAAATTACAATTTAACTAACTTGGATGCATTTTACTAATAATTAATAGATCTTCTCAGTCTTGGGTACACCTTTTAAAAATAAGATTCATCTCAAAGACATAGTTCAGTTTTGTTTTTAAATCTACATTTGTCATTTTGTGTGTTTAAAATGATGAGAATGGTAATTGAGGATGTTAATCTGAGTTTTCTGATGGTCACCAGCAAATGTCATTAATAGAGGGGCTCTCGGAGCAGAATCCAATCTCCTATTCTTTCATCTTTATTAAGATGAAAACAAAAGAAGTGGGGAATGTTAGAAATGAAAAAAATAGTATCTTAGCTGCATATAAACATTTAAGAAAAAGCAGTAGTCTACATGACAGCTAACGCTTGTCAGTTTTAGCATCCTGTGCTATATACCTGTTTCAGCATAGAATTTAGGCATACGAGTCTTTTTTTTTGAAGGACAATTATTTCTGTGTACTGAAGATGCAACAATGTACATTTCTGGGCATTAAAAATTCTAAAGTACTTCTGATTATTCTCAAGGGTAATATATTATCATTGCAGTAATTACAGAAATGTTATGGGGGACATTTCTTCTAGGCCTCCTAAATTTTAGTGTTACATTTCATTTTTTCAAAAATTAATCTAAACACTTGAAAAGTTCTTAAAATAGAAATGCCTAAACCTGTTCTTTTGACACAAAAAGAATCTAAAGTTACATTGTTTATGGCAACTTTTAAGAGTCCTATTGAAGACAGTTTATGTGACACAAAAAATGGCTCAAGATTATGTTTTCTACAGGGATGTACACAGATGCAGAGTATCTTACCCTTGAGAAGAACTTCGGTAATAAAAAAGCAAATTTTATGAGTAAGAGAGAAAACTTATGTTCTTTTCAGAATAACAAGAATTTTAATGGACTTGGATGGACCAACCTGGCGGGAGAAACTGTCAGCCATTCCTACTGTGCCCAGTTCTGTGCAAGTGCGAGGTTGGCAGCCTGCAGCAGAGATGTCCCCAGACCAGGTGGGAGATTCCTGCAGCCATCACCAACCCAGTCTTGCAGGTGAGGGAAGCCTGCGCTCATTTCTTCTGAGGGTTATCTTGAACTCTGTGTATATTTTCATGGTAAAGCAGGATGAAGGCATGAATTCTGGCATCACACCTGGGTTTAAGTTGCATCCCTATTCTAATTACGGACTCTTAAGAAGTTGTTTTACACCTTCAGTGTCCTAGTATATGTGAAAGGGGGAAAAATGAAAACCATCTTAGGCAGTTGTTGGGAATAAATGGATATCTGCATATAAAATAGTGCATGCTGACTGAGAGAACTTACTGTAACGTGACAAATGTTGACGGTGGCGTAACAAAAAGAATTAAATAGCATACAGCGCTCTACTACACCATATATGTGGTGAAGCTAAAATAATAAGACTGATATGCTTAAGATAGTAAGACAAAATAAACTCTGGAGCAGATAAATCTACCAGGTATTTCCTCCGGCCTATTATATCCTAGTTAAGATACTGCATTCCCATAGTGCCTACCTCATAACTTCACACATTTAGTAAGTTTTCCTTCAGTCTTGCTTTCTGCTTTAAAGCCAGCTAAGGCCCTATTTCCTCTGCCTGCTTGTAAACTTCATGTGTGTCCCCAGGTTGAGCTTGGTCTTACAGATTCCCTGAGGTTCCTGAGCTGTGATGTCCCATCCTCTTCCTTACCTAAAAAGAACAGGCAGCAACAGACATCTGCCAAGGCTTTTAGATGATTTAGCAGTCCTAGAAAAATCATGAAGATCTCCATTTTTCTAGATTCTATTTTTAATGAAGCCTAGCATCAAGCATTTGCTCAATAAAGGATATCTTCATTAACAAAATGCATGTACTAATTCATTTTAGGTATGTGATGGCAAATCATAACATACATATAATGAGCTCATTCTGTTGTATTGGTTTGCTAATTATTAGTGAGACTGGATACCAAAGGCTTAAAGACATTGGGGAAAATTTTTCAGCAAACTTAGGAAAAAAATCCTCTGTAATAATCTATTTTAGGTTTTATATACCATGAGTCATGGGGAGTGTCATTTGGCCCCATGTGCAAGATTTTTGAAACATGAAACATTGGGCAAAAATTTACTGTGAAGTAAAATAGGAAAAATTAACTATTTCATGCTATTGGTCCAGAGGAATGAATAAGAGGATTGTTTACCTTCTATGCTTATACGATAAATTGAGTATATCTATCAGAAGATTTATAGATTGTAAGAATTTAAGGATATATTTTTAAATTTTAAGTTATGGGCTTTTATTTCTTACTAAAGTTTCTCCATAGGGTAAAGCTAATACATATGTTTAAAACTTTAAATTTTGATATTTTATGTGTGTTAGAAGATGTAACACTGTTATATCGTATATCTTTCCTGTTACAAGTAATAGGAAATCTGTTGATTTAAACCATAAAGAAAGCTTTTAGCTTGTGTCACTGAAAGGGCCCATTTTGGGCTCTAAAATCAGGAACTGCTCATCAGGTGCACACTCTGGCTAGAAACAATGGCACTAGCAGTTTAGGCTCCATATCTGTGCTTATCAGTGTCCAGAGGGAGAAAAACACTGTTTCTTTTGGTGGCATTAATTTAAGGTTGAGGAAATATGTTGCCCTAAAGCCCTAACTTTTTTATCTTGTTAATCTCTCAGCTCAAGTAGAGTCAGGGACCCATTTCTGAGTGAGTCCCTAGGATGAAGAAATGCCATGCCCCCGATTGGCTTAGGCCTGGATTTCAGATCAGAGGGGACAGCTTTCCCTGAATAAACTGAACAGGAGATGGGCAATAGATGAATGAATACTGAGGTACCCTTAGGAAGAGAGAAGAGGATCCTGAGCCGGGAGTAAACCATAATCACTTTAAGATAATAGGTAACGGTAATGGTCATGTTTGATTACATATAATAGAAAACCCAGCCTTTTATGACTTAAGCAAAGAGGTACTTTTTTTTGTACCTATTTTGGGAAAGTTCATGCTAAGAATAGCTGCAGGGACATGTGGATCAGGCCTCAGGGGTTCTTGATTCTTTCTCAGATCTCCATCTCGGCGCCTCTTTCTTGCTCTGTTGCCTCCATTCTCAGACAGGCTCTCTCTTTCTATCACAGGATGGCAAAAATCTTTCATCCTCAAATCATGCGGGAAAGAGCAAGAATTATTTTTCCACGTGCGGCTACAGAAATCTTATTGTAGTTATTGACTCCTATAGACCCATTCTTCACCAATCGTAGACTATTGGGGTCAAGGGAATATAATGTACTGACTAAGAAAAGAAGCATTATCTTCAAAATGGGACAGCTGTGGGGTTCAATTTGTCTTAAACCACTGGAGCAGAGAGTGAAGGAGGTGTGGTTTTTCCTAGGAAGTTTGGGGTGCTGGGCCAATGTCTTTTCTGAGGCTTGAAAGAGGCTGTTTGTTAATGAAATAGTTATTGAACCAAACACTTGTAGATATTTGTGTCTCTAGCAGAGAAAAAAACGCATGCCAGTATGGATCACTATCATTCCTGTTATTTTACTTTCTAATTTGAAAACAATTGTGTCATAATTGTATAGCCTTTTTTTATTGATAGCCAATTTATCTTTTTAATTTGTGTACAGTGTTCTAGGGATAGATTTTTAGCTCTGCATGCTGTGTGTTCAAGTTAATTTGTAATTTTCCAGATGTACTTAAAATTTTATAGAGATGTTTATTTATATGACTACTTCTACCTTTTTTTTTTCTTCTTCTGGGGTCCCATAGATGAAAAACGGTTTAAAACCCTTAAGGAAGAAGGAAATCAATGTGTAAAGGACAGAAACTATAAAGGTGCCCTTAGTAAATACAGTGAATGCTTAAAGATTAACAATAAGGAATGTGCCATTTACACAAACAGGCAAGTTCTTTGTAACTTTCTTATGTTAATATTTTTGATAAAAGCTATAGATGCATTAATTGTCAGAGTTTTTTCCCATGGCTTACATAGCAAATTGTCCTAACTGAATGTTTTCCAAAGAGGTGAAGCCATAGAAGTTCTTGGAGAGATTTAAAACAAGGTGGGGAGAAGAGGGGTGAGAGGGCTGATGTCATCTCTGGTCTTCGGGGTTCCTGTAGGCCGCTGCGGTCACCACCTTGACTGGGATGCTCGTGTTTTTCACTTCAAGATTCCATTTATATGAAGTGCCTAGAATAGCCACATTCATTGACACAGAAAGTAGAAGGGTGGTTGCCGGGGGCTGGGAAAAGGGAAATAGGCAATTGCTATTTAGTGGATATAGAATTTTAATTTTCCACATTTTTCTTTTCTTTTTTTTTAATTGAGGTAACATTCGTTTACATCATTGTTTGTGATCTGGCACTTTTTGGTTGTGTGGCCTGAGCTTTACCCAGCGTGGTGGCCGCAGGAATCTGTTGTCTTTCAAACTGATGGCTTAAGAAGCAATGTCTTTTTTTTTCTCTTGAAGTGTTCAGCGTGCCAGCATCTTTTAGTATACAGTAGGAATGGGCAAATTGTTCTAGAATGCTGCCTAGGTGTCTTTTTTTTTTTTTTTTGCCACATTATGATAAAGATACTTGTATTTGACAATTTGGAGATTTTTAGAGACTAGTGTCTGGGGTGATAAGGGAGAATAAAGGATTATTCCTAAAGAATCAGGACTCAGCACAAATTTCTCCTAGCTATTTCACATGAATCCTTTTAAATTTAACCTCTTACTCCCTTATTTTTGTATGTGTTTTTTCTATACTATACTAGTTTGCAAAAATTTTGTCTTTATATTCAATAAATATTTGTATGCTCTGTTCAACTTTTGCCATATTGGTCATTAATAGCCACTCGGTTTTCCCTGGAAGTGACTTCTCCCTTTGGTATTCTTAGGGTTCTGAAAGTGTAGATCCTTTTTTTGCATTATGCAGTTTCTGGACCGTTTCATCCTATCCCTAACTCCATTTACCATGCCCCAAACCTCTATCTCTGAGCTCTGGACCTGAGCACTCTCCTCCCTCTGCACTCCTGATGGGCTGTCATCTCCTGCCAGCAAATCAGATGTCCTACCTCCTAAATTCCTCTTCCCCCTCAACAACACTCCCTGCTCTGAGCTACCACCTTCTCTTCCTCATGTCTGCAACACCTTGCATAGTGCCCTGCATGTCTTATTCCCTCTGTTTCCATTCCCAGGTGGCAGCAAGAATGATCTTTCTAAAACATGGTTAAAAGGTCAGCCTCTATTTAAAAACCCTTCAGTGGACTTTTCCTCAGCTCAGGATATAACTCAACCTCCTTGATTCATGACACAAAACCCTTTATGATATGACCTGCCTCTTCTTCTAACCTAACCATGAGGCATTTTTTTCTCAGTTCCTTGAGTTCACCATGTTTTCTCTCACCTTAATACCTTTGCATGTGCTGTGCCCTCACCCTCTATTCTCCCCTCCCTACCTCTTAACTCTCAGCCCAGTACCGTTGCATTCAATAATCATTTGTATTCTAGGCATCAATTTAAATGCCACTTCTAGAAAGTCTTACCTGATTATTCCTCCCCTCCCTTTAGCCCTCCCAGATCTGATGAGATCCTCAGCGGGTGTGCTCCCAGAGCATCTGATACAGACTTTATTATGTTTGCTTGTTTTAATTGTCTTCCTCCAGACCACATCTTCCTTGAGGGCTGGAACTGTGTTTTGTCTTGTTTTGTTTTGTTCCCAGCGCCATGATTATATATATTGCAAGAAAATGTGATAATTGGAGTAAAATGTTATAATACTGAGTTCCATTATGTTACACCAGAGCTCTCTGTTACTTGAAGCTGTGCCAGTTTGAAGAGGCAAAGCAGGACTGTGATCAGGCCCTTCAGATAGATGACGGGAATGTGAAAGCTTGCTATAGGCGAGCTCTGGCTCACAAAGGACTCAAGGTGAGGGAATCTTCATTTTTATTTATCAGTTTTGGCTCTGAAACCCACATCATGTGGGTTTCATGAACGTAAGTCTTGGGATCATGGAACAGGAGTGAGATTATTCTGGGATTTAACCCCAGTCCTGAAACCTTGGAAAAGGCCTCAAATTTCCCTTAACTATAGCGTGGAGCTTGATAATTTCTAACATTCCTCCCAGCTCAAAAATTAGAGTTTATTTCTTAATTATCTGAGGAATGTTGTTATACTAGGTCCACTTTCAGGGACAGGAAGGTTTGTTACTGAGTTATGTAATAGTCACGAGCTATGCCACTGGATTCCTCCGGCAAAGGGCTGGGGTTATCTGTGGAGTAGGAGGACGACATCAGAATGGCAGGTGGGTCACCCAGTAGAAGTTGGTAGAGACATTTCAGAAGTTGCAAACCTCACAGTGATCTGGGCCTTTGACTGGCTGGTGGTCAGTGTGAGACTGTAGAATGGTGTTCTTCTCTAAGAAACCATGTCACTTTTCATGACAGGAGTGTATAATTGTATAATTACACTTTGTTTTGATTCTTCTGCATGGAAAACTTGAATGTTCATGTTTGTAGAAAATAACATCACAAGGGAAAATCAGGACATACTGGGAAATGGCATTTCCTGAAATGGTAATTTCTAAAAATCAATTTCACTAAGGGCTAATACAATGAAATTCACACTTCATAAGCATGCAGGGCTTTCTCCTATTCTCAGACTTTTAAAAATTGATATAATTGACATGGTAGTTTCAGGTATATGACATGATTCCATGTTTATATTGCAAAATGATCACCACAATGTCTAGTTAACATCCATCACCAGTATTTTTTTTCTTGTAATGAGGAATTATAAGCCTATATACTCTTAGCAACTTTCAAATACATAGTTACTACTGGACCTTACGCCCCCATGACTTACTTATTTTAAAACTGGAAGTTACTTCTTTTGACCACCTTTACCAGTTTTGCCCATCCAACCCTTCACCTGTGGCAGCCACCAATCTGTTCACTGTATCTGAGCTTTGTTTTTTAAAAATTCTAAATATATGCAAAATATTTGATTTTTCTGTCTGACATACTTACAAAATCCATCCATATTGTCACAAATGACAGGATTTCCTTCTTTATGGGTGAATAACAGTGTGTGGATTTCAATCCATTAATTACTGGACACCTATGTCTTATCAATATGTTGGCTATTTGTAAATAATGATGTGATAAACATGCAGGTATCTTTTCAAGTTAGTGTTTAGGTACCAAATTCAAGACTTATATCAAGTAATTTACTGTCTAATGTCTTCTAGGAATTTTATGGTTTTAGGTCCTAGATTCACGATTTTGAATTAATTTTTATATGGTGTAAGACAGTGGTCAAGTGTCATTCTTTTGCAAGCTCCCTTGTCACAAATTTATTGACCATTTATGTGCATGTGTTTTCTGGACTCTGTTCTGTTCCATTGATCTCTGTCTGTTTTTATGCCAAAATCTTACTGTTTCTATTACTATAGTTTTGTAATACTGTTTGATGTCAGAAAATCTAATGCCTATACCTTTGTATACCAAAATATACAAAGAAATATAATGCCTATACCTTTATATATCAAAATCTTTGTAAAGATCAAGATTGCTTTGGGGTTTTTTTTGTGGTTCCATACAGATTTTAGGATTGTTCTATTTTTATGAACAATGTCATTGTAATTTTGATAGAGATTGAAGTGAAATCTGTAAATTGCCTTGGGTAATATGGACATTTTAACAGCATTTAACCATGAGCATGGAATATTTTTCTATTTTCTTGGGTGTCTTTAGTTTTTTTCATCATCATTATATTGTTTTTAGTATACAGATCTTTCACTTAGTTAAATTTAATTCTTTTACTCTTTTTTTTTTTTTTAAAAGATTTGTTTATATATACAAGCACTGGGTACAGTCAGAAGCACAGGAGGGTGAGAGAATTCACCAGAGCCAGAGTGGGGAACAGAACAGGCAGACTGACAAAATACACTGCTGAGGGGAGCAGCGGGTGCGGCAGGAGAGGTCTGCGCGCCATTGGGACCCTCGCGGGTGGCCAGGGATCAAACCAGCGCTACAGAGGCTGTGAGCAGCTTTGCAGCCCAGCACTCAACCGCCACGCCACCGGGGAGGCCCTCTTTTACTTTTTTTGATGAAATTATAAATGGGATTGTTTCCTTAATTTTGTCATTGACTTTTGAATAATATAATCTCCATGTGGTTACTACTCCAGTTAAGATAAACATTTCTAATTCTCCACAATGTTGTATGTAATCTGTATCTTTACACTCCGCTCCCAGGCAGCCACTCATCTAAATTCTCTCACTATTGATTAGTTTTGCTTTTTTCATATTAACATATATACAATCATATGGAATATATGGACAGTTCCCAATTTACAATGGCTTTACTTAAAATTTTTCTCCTTTACTAAAATATAAAAGTCAGTAGAGACTACCAAATGATTGTTTATTATGAGATCAGGCTCCTCTAGATCTTGGTTTTCTTATAATTGCATTGATGACAATCCATACTTGTTTGCCTAATATTTGTCTCCCCTCATAAGACGTAAGCTACTATAAGGAATTTGGGGTCATGGTGGTTCTTTCTCCTCATCTGTTTTCAGCTCCTAGGACCTGAATGTATACAGTGGCCACACATCAAGTAAATTAACTTGCCTGAGTGCTCTGGGAACAGGCAGACTGGCCCTCTCCTCTTCTCTTCCCTCCCTGCTTGATGCTGTTCCCACCCTTCTTGCAGTCCTCCTGCCTTCTCATCACAATTATGTCTCTTTTAACACACACTGAAATGTATTTCCTGTTTTCTTACATCTCCTCCAACCAGACAGATTGATTTTAGGCATCCTTTATTAAATGAATGAAAAAAGTTATGCTGAATCCTTCCATGTGGTATTGGTCTCCATTTCCAAGATTAACTCACAAATCTGTTTTTCATACCTTTCACTTAAGTTCCACAACTGTATTAGCATCCACCTTATGTTCACTGCTGCCCTTATCATCCCCCAAATAATCTCTGTGCCTCAGTTTCCTCATCTTTAAATAGGAACAATAAAAGTATGTATAGGGCTATTGTGAGAGTAAGATAATACTTGCAAAATGCTGGGTAGTTATTACCCACCAAAATGGTGGGAGTTATTAGTACTCCCTCCACTTGCCCTGTTGCCCCAACTCCTTTCCTTCTCACAGGTGGTTCCCTGCCTAGCACATACAATGTCATTTGTGTGTGTGTGTGTGTTTTTTAAAAGATTTATTTATTTTTATACAAGAACCGGCATACAGGCCAGATGCGCAGGATGGTGAGAGGATTCACCGGAGATAAGAGTGGGGAACAGAACAGGAAGACTGAAGTAATACATTGCTGAGGGGAGCAGCGGGAGAGACAGGAGAGGTCTGCTGTGCCATGTGGGATTTTCGCTGGCCGGCCAGGATTGAACCCACGCTGTAGAGGCTGCGGACAGCTTCACAGTGCGGTGCTCAACCGCCTGCGCCACCTGGGAGGCCTGTCATTTGTGTTTTTTGGTAGATGGTTCCAGCTGTGCTTTTGTGATATAGTAGTATGTGGAGATTTTTACTAATAGTACATAATTTACCTTTTTAAAAGTAAATATTAGAGCAGATTTAAAGTTATCCCCGAAGACACATCACTTGTGTTCAGTGTGTTGCAGGGGGTGGGGGAGGGGTTGTGGCATTACAGCTCTCCCCGGAATGTGACATAACCAGTAGCTCCTCATCTGTGCCTCAGCCTCTAGTGCATGCTGTTATTGATATGTCAGACATACTTAGAGAGGTTAAACATCACTGGAATTCTTTGTCACCTCATAAAATTCGTTTTGGTTTAATCAAAATATAGGTCTAGTCCTGTGGATCTATAATATAACCTGTCACAGTAGACTGTGATTTTGTGGCATTTCTCTGCAACCATTCCCCTGTGTCTTAGATTCCTTTTATTCCCCCTAAGTTTCTTTAATGTATTGTCTGAATCTTCACAGAAGAGTAAATGTTGACTCTAGTTTACTTGAAAAATATACAAAATCTGAAGGGTTTTACAAAGCAAGAATATTATGGTAACAACCAGCTTTTTATAGCCCTTTATAGACTTTTTAAATCACTCATTAATTTATTTCTTGATATAACCTAAAAACTAGAGCAACTTTGGCTATTCTTGTTTTAAAGATGAAAAAACTGAAGCTCAGAAAGGTTAAGTAGGATCATATTCCAGTTTCACTGCTACTGATAATAGGTGCTAATCTGAGAATGTTATTCTTTAATTTATTCGTAAGTCAGCAGACAACAAATGTTTCCACAAGTGTTAGGGATTGTGAAGGTTGTGGTGATAGAGAATTGAACTTCTAATACCAGATTCTGTGCCATCTCTTTAGTAGTATTGTTAGACAGGGAAAGGATGTCCTAAAGCTAATTCCATACAGGCTTTGTGGACTCCACCCCCACCCCAGGCCAAAGCCAAAGACACTGGAAACTCCAAATCCCATCACCACCAATGGGAAGGTGGCTGGGACCTGAGGGTGGGGTTAAGCAGCCAGGTTGGTATAAAGCCAGATACGTGGGCTTTGGAGAGGTCCCCCATTTTGAGACTCTGCCAGCTCGCAGCGTCCGGCCAGCTCGGAGAGTGCTTTTTGGGTTTCCAAGTCGGCGGATCGAGTAGGACGCATTAAAGACTTTATTTCCCTATTTTCTCCCTGAGTTGTACATTTTCCTTATTTCCTTTTCCCTGGTAAATAAACCTTTTATTAACCTTTTGTGTATGCCTGTAGTGGAGTATTAATAAGTCCTTTTAAGTGCGCGGGTGAGGCAGCCAGGCAACCCGTTCAATATCGGGGCTGCCCTATAACAGTAGTACTTATAGAAGGTTCCAACTGTGTTTTGTAACATACTACTACCACTACTACTACTAGTATTGGGTTGTTGGAAAAGTCATGATGCATTTTTTCTGGTTTTCAAAGAGAAAATGTCATGACCTTTCTGACAACCCAATAGTTTGTATTATCAGTTATAACATTTTAAGCCCAGACTTACCTTATTTGGCCAAATTTTATGACAGTGATACTAATGGTAACCTACTGGCACAACTCACTTCATCCCTCTCAGGTAAGTCATGCCCCTTCTTCAATTTATGAAAATTATTTTCTCTTTCTAATTTCAGAATTACCAGAAAAGTTTAAACGATCTCAATAAAGTTCTCCTGCTAGACTCAAATATTGCTGAGGCAAAGATGGAACTGAAAGAGGTAACCAGATTCCTTAATATTGATAACACATCATGCGGCAAAGAAAAGGAGAGAAGGAAAATTGAGATTCAAGAGGTATTTGTATTTGACTATCTTTGAAAGTGCTTTTTCTTTTTGGATTTTATGCTCATATTTTATTCTAAAGTTGTATTCTTACTGTTTTATAAATTTTCAAAAAATTTTTCCTTAAAATTTTCAAAAAACTTTTCCTATAAAAATAATACGGTCATTGAAAAGAAATTTAACTAGTAATAAAAATTTTCCTTTCGTCTGCAATGAGAATTAGTCATTGTATTTCCCATCTTGGGTCCATGGGCTGTACTGGGATCTGCATTACTTAAGTTCTTTGTCCCTCCCCAATCTGACAGGTGGTTTGTACTGCTTCCACTCCAGGCGGTTCTGCCAGCTTATGTACACTGAGATTTGCTTTGAGGTAGACCTGGAGAAACCTGACAGAACTGATTGTTTCAGTGATCTTGCAAGCCATAATTTATACAAGTTTTACAGAATGACTCAGACTTTTTTTAGCACTCTGACAAACAAGCCAAGCTTTATCAGAGATTTGAGACTACCTCAGTCAAACCAACCTTTGTGATTTCAGATAACCATTGTCTTGTGTAGAAGCTTTCTGCTTTGCCTTTAGTGACGAATGTCAGCTCATAAATTCCTGTGATTCATAAATGCTATTATCCCATACAAGGTTCTTACAGAATCTGAGAGTATGATGTGAAAGAAGCTAGGTAGTACCCCTCCCCTTTCCCAAAAAGGGAAGATGAAAACTATTTTAAGAGAATTGAAAGGTCACTTCTCTGTTAAATGTGAGGGAAAATAAGTAAATATAAAATTTATCATGAAAAACATGAGATGTTGCCATAGGTATTTTTTATACAACAGCTTTTTCATGGAAAAGTGTAAAAATGGCTTTCCCAATGTTTAAATAAAAAAAAATACCTTTATTCCTTAAGACCTTCCTTCTTAAAAAAAGATTATATAATACAATTGTACACTTTTCATTTAGAATTGGACTAAAATACAGTCTTTTTCAGTTCCTTCCCATTTTGAAGTATAACTTGGGATGTATGTGGTGACTGCTATTTATGTCATTATGTAATTTTTTCCTCATGAAGGTGAATGAAGACCACAAAGAGGAATCTCATAGAACCTTACAGGAGGTCTCCAATGACTCTTTTGCTTGTGAGAAGGGGAACCCAAGCAATGGGCCAAATGAATACTATGAAAAACTACTGATTGCTAAGCCTAACAATGCTTATGAATTTGGTCAGGTTATAAATGCTATCAGTAGTAGGAAAGATAAAGAAGCCTGTGCACACCTTTTAACCGTCATTGAACCAAAAGATTTACCAGTGCTGTTGAGTAACAAGCTTGAAGGGGATACATTGCTCCTCCTCATTCAGGCTCTGAAAAGTAATCTTATGGATAATGATCCCTCATTGGTGTATGAGCATCTTTTACATCTAAGTAAAGCAGAGAGGTTTAAGGTATGTAGCAAAATATCTTAATAGTGATTGGTTTTTCAGGGTTTCTGTTAAATTTTATACTAATAAAAATGTTATCCTTTTTCAGATGATGTTGACACTACTTAGTAAGAGCCAAAAGGAGCAAATTGAACAGCTATTTGATGACCTCTCAGAATCACCAAACCAACATTTTACTTTAGAAGATGTACAGGCCTTAAGAAGCCAGTATTATTGCTAGATTTCTTCCATGCATGTATGTTCCAGTACTGGTAATAAGATGGTATTGTGATAATGTTGCATGGGTAAAATCTCACTAAGAAAAGATACCTTGGTTTAGACTATAAAATATTTTACTTATTTTTATACATAGAACATGTATATTCTATAATCTGCCTTTTATTAGTTGTAAATATTTTCTTATGTACCAGAACCTACATCCATTTATATTTAATAATAAGCATATTTGAAACTTGTTAAAATGCATTTTAATTTATAGTATACATTTTCTTTTAATCACTCACTTGTTAAATATTTGAGTTAAGTAAATTTCTTTGGGTTATGAAAGTGTGCTCTTATGTTTAATAGGAATATATTTCTTTAAAATTCATTTTTAAAAGTGAAAATCATTAAGTGTTATTATATCACTTTTATTTCCTGCTAAGACATATCTAAATCTCATTTTATACTACTGTGGATTACAGTTTAAGTGAAATGTAACCCTTAAGTTTATAATATGAAGTGATATGAAAGCATTATTAAATAAATGTAATTATGAATTGAGAGCTTTATGAGAAACTTTTTTTAAAAGATGGAAACATTTCCTAATCATAAGAACAAACATTGCCAAAAAATTTCTACCACCTTTTAATAAATCTTAAAAACTACTTTCCCTTATATATTGCTTAAATATATAAAAGCAACCTAAACCTGCATTAGAATTGTCAGTCCTCCCTGCTGGCGCACGCGGTTGAGCACAGGGCTATGAAGCTGTCCGCAGCCTCTGCAGTGCTGGTTTGATCCCCACCAGCTGTGGAGATATCCACATGGCGTGACAGACCTCTCCTGTCTTGCCCGCTGCTCCCCTCAGCAGTGTATTTCATCAGTCTGCTTGTTCTGTTCCCCGCTGTCTCCTCTCACCCTCCTGCACATCTGGCCTGTGCCCCGGTTCTTGTATAAATCTTTAAAAAAAAAATTGTCACAACCTCCCCCCGCCCCATTTTCCCCAGGCCCTTTCCCTTTTCTATTTCTTCCTTTAAGCGCGGCCATATACACTCCCTTAATGTAAAAGGGAAAGTGAAGAACCTTACATTGAAATCTGCTTTAACTGGGCTAAAGTAAAGGCATTTCTTAGAATAAAACTTTCATGTTTCTATTCAATTTACTGCCATTTATTCCTCTAGCTTAAAGTCTTTTCTCTCTTTCTGGAGCATTTTCTTATTCTTCAGAAGTGAAAAGATGACTATCACTTTCATTTCCATATTTTACCTATTTTTTTTATAATTATAGAATATTAAAAATTATTGTGGGCAAATGTTGCCTTTTTATTGTGGGTAAAACTGCCATTTTTCTTTAAAAAGTATTTCAACTGTAATCTTAAAGGAAACTGTTCTTAATGTTATTAAATTTTTTGTAAAGGCAAATAATGGAGTATATTTCAATTGCATCCTGTATATGGAATTTATAGAAATAGACACAGTTTTCACCACACACACAGAGCAATGTGAAATTTAGAGTAACTTGATATTAGAGATATAAAAAGGACCGTGTCTGTGGACAAGGAAGAAATCACAAACTGAAGCGTCAGCACCACCTTTTGGAAAACCAGACTCCCAGCAGCCAGCATGGTGAGTTGTAAGAACAAGAAAAGATGTAAAAGGTTAAGAATTCTGCCACAAGAGGAAGCGAGAAGTGTGGAACAAGTCTACCTACATTCAAAAGCTGAAAGAAAACCTGATACAGCAACATCAACTATCCATACCCAATGTGAAGACAAGTAAAGGCTTAAGGAGGCAATGCAGAAATATAAAGAACATAAAAAAAATTGAGACTAGGCTGTTCCTAATGCTGTTGGATAGGTAACTGTCCAACAGCAGAGCTCAAAGCAATGAAATCCAGTGATAGAGTTGATAAAGAATCCAGAATAGCTGTTTTATGGCCAATAAGCTACAAGAAAATTCAATTCAATGATAATAGGAATGAGAACACATGAACAAAATGAACTTTTACCAAAAAGAAATTATTAGGAAACCCAAATTCTGGAGCTAAAAAATTTAATGAGCTGAATAGAGCATTTGTAATAGAGTAGATAGAAGACAAAATAAGTGACTTAGGAGACAGGAATTTTGAAATACAGGTAGAGAACAAAGATGAATTTTGAAAAAGTGAATAAAGCCTGCATAAGCTATGGGATTCAAACAAAAGAGCATATATTTGAATAATTAGGATCCACAAGAAGAGGGAGAAACAGTATTTAAAGAAATAGCTGAAAACTTCCCAAATGTGGTGAAAGACTTAGATATCAGATTCATGAAGCTAATAGATAACCCCCATTGTTTCAGTGCAAAAATACCTTCAAAACCCTTTAATAATGAAACTATTGAAAATCAGAGAGAAATACATATGGATCAATTGATTTGTAATGATGTACACCTGAAACCTGTTATAAAATCCATGTCATTTCAGTATTTGTTTAATCAAAGAATCACAAATGCAGCTGGGGCAGGGAGAAAAATCTACAAAGAGCCACTCCCCCCCCACCCCATAAGGTTATCAGTAGATTTCCCAGTAAAATCCTTCGAAGGCCATTAGAGTGGAAAGACATATCCAAAGTATTGACAAATAGAAAATGCCAGGCAACACACTCTGTCTGGCAAGTTTATCTTTCTGATACGAAGGAGAAATACTTTTCCAGACAAATAAAATCTGAGGGAGTTTACCACCCCTAGTCCTGTCTTGCAAGAAATGCTAAAAGGAGTTCTTCAATCTGAAATGAAAATATGCTAATCAGCAACATGAGAACACTTTTACATGGATAAAGATGAAAAATAATATACTCAAACTTAGAAAACTAATTCTATAGCAGGATAGTGTAATGACCAGTCAATTGTAGTACAAAAGTTAAATAGAGTTGAAAGGTAAATTATGTCGGCAAAAATATAAAAGGGGATGGTAAAAGTGTGCACCTGTATAAGCAAAAGGAGGTAACTTGCTATCAACATAAAGTGGACTTTTTATCTATGAGATGCTTTATGTAGTCTCATGGTCAACACAATGGAAATCAGTACTGAAAAAAGGTACTAAAGTGCTTATTACAAAGATCTGGAATAAATATTTTTAAAGATCTTCAGGGTAATGGAATAAAAAACAAAAACAACTGGGATTACCTCAAAGAGATTTTACACAGCGAAAGAAAAATAAAAATTGATTAAAAAGATATTGTATTGAACAAGCTATTCATACATTGCACAACTGACAAAGGGTTGATAGCCAAAGATACACCAAAAACTCAATTTAAAAATAAAAAACCCCAAATAATCCAATTAATACATGGATAACAGATCTAACCAGAATTCACCAAACATATCCAGAGGCTAATGCATGGAAAAATGTTCATCATTGCTTTTAAAAAGAGAGTTGCAGGTCAAATCCACAATGAAATCATCTCACACCTGTGAGAATGGCACACACTATAAAGACCCAACAACAGGAGCTGAAGATGGAGAGAAAGAGGAGCCCTATTAACACTGTTGGTGGGAAGGTAAGCTGATGTGTTGTGGATAATATGAATTTACCTTACGAAAACGGAAAGTGGAAATAATTAAGACCCAGTAATCCAATTCTTGGGCATCCATCCAAAGACATGAGACAATCAACTCAAAACTATGTTCCACAATTTTTTTTGGTAGCATTTGCAATAGCTAGGGTGTTCAAGGGAATTATGTACAATAAAGCAAGTCAGAAAGACTAAGCCAAATATTGGCTATTTACATAGTGGACAAGGTGACAAAGCAAAATACTTATTAAACATTAGGAGAAATGAATGAAGCAAGGCCTCTGAAATCAAGGGGATGGGAGGTGGGAAGGATGAAACAGGTTTAAGGGATGGTGAGTGGGGAGAGGGACTAAAAAAAGGCCCCAAAACATTCAAACAGTAATTTCTACTAAATACTGAAGACTTATTTCTCATCTTGTACACTTTGATATTGAGGCTTATCCCAGCAGGTTAGTTTCACACTTGAAAGATCAAATTCACCATATTAACACATTAAAAGGATAAATCACAATTATACTTCCAAATAGCTGCCTTTCCTCCACCCCCCGCAAAAAAAAAAAGCCAACCATTTCCCAAAGTTAAATTTTGGCACACTAAGGATATGAAAAGAACCTAACAAATTTGATAGAGGGGTAACATCATAAATGGTTGAAGTATTGAAAACTTTTCCTTTGAGATTAACAATAATCTATATTAACAATATTGTAGTAACAAGCCCCCTGTAACAACTGCTATTCAGCACTATACACTTGTCAGAGCCAGAGCAAATGGGCCAGAAAAAGAAATCTACAATGTAAAGACTGAAGAAACAAAAGTTTGAATTCCAGTTCTGCAACTTACCTGCTATTGCAGTTCTGGGGAAAGTACCTGATAAACTGCCTTAGTTCTCAACTGTAAAATGGGTGGGCGGGGGGGGGGGAGTACCTTCTTCACAGGATTGTGCTGAAGATTAATATTTTAAGTTTGTAGAAAGCACTTGACACTTCAAAGCACTGTAATTTGTTAAAATATTTACAAATGGTTACATACACAGAAACCTCAATCTACAAAATATTAGAGTAATGAGAATTCTATAATTAAGAGTAATTTTCCCATATTCATCACACAAAAATCAGTTGTATATCTAGATGTTACTAACAAGTAGAAAATGACATCCAAAAAAAATACCGAGAAATAAAAAAATTTAACATTGGTAGTAGATGTAAATACCTCTATAAGGGTAACTTCATTTAAAGCAATTCCATCAAAACTGGTGGAACTCAAGAAGGTTATTCTGCAGTGTTTACGGAAATGTAAAGCTCAAGAAAAATTAATACTCTCCAAGAGAAACAAGAGGGTATCAAATTTGGAATATCAAACAATTTTGATTGATGTCTAAATTGTCCGTTAACTTTCCTAGGAAAAGATGTCTTTCTGTATTGCTCATCCACTAGGTATGTCTACAATATTTCCTCCTTCACAGATCCTTGCACAGATCTCTAAGCAGAGATCTTTCTGGTTTTTCATGTTTATTAAACAGTACTAGCCAATAATGCCAATTACTTTATCTTCCACCCTGTATTTTTCATAGCATCCATCATCTGGTATTATTTTATGCTGTGTTAGTGTTCCATCTAATTTTTTTAATAATTTACAAAATCTCAAGATGGCAGGCAACATGTTCATACAGATTTTCATGAGGCATTAACTATGTGACAGAAAAACAATGCATGTTTATTATAAAGCTCTAAGAACAGAAAACATTTGATTACAACTATTAACTTGAATATAAATGGCTCTATTTCATAAACTAATGTTTTGGTGTAGAATCTCTTAATCTTTTAAGAACTTTTTTTCTTTTAAGAGAATTTATAATACTTATTTTTACATAATATAAGGATAATCTCTTTACTTTCCAACCAATTTATGTTGATGAATAACAGTTTCCTTCTGGAGGAGAAACAGGAATTAAACATATAGAAAGGATAATTTGTCATATTAGTGAGAAGTTCAGCAAATGCTTTCATTTAGACTGAGTGAAGAATCATCCTAAAGGTTAAGTATTTATGAATAACTACCACATGGAAAATGAATATATATGATCTTTCAAAAATCTATGCACAAACCATAAGGCAGCAATATGTTAGTATTTACATTTATTTTATGTATACTTTTTACACACTCACTGTTGAACAAAACTGGAATGCAAACAAATATACAAATAACACAATAAGCATTATCAAATAAAATAACTGGCACTAGTGTTATAAGCATATTACTGGACCTGGTGAAGAAAAGTGATGGAAGAAGACTGCAGCCCATGGCATTTTTCTTTTTAATAAAAGAAAATGCTCAGTAGCACCAAAATGGTAATACTTGAAATAAAACCACATAAGATAGAACATTTTAACTGCTATCACTGAGGTTAACCTGTTATATTTAAGTGAATTATATGGAATTTAACAGTAAAGGCAGTATTTTGGCCAACTTCTGCTTATGTCAGCTGAACACATCCCATAAACAAAAGCAAAAGCAAATCAAGTCAGCCATACATGGAACCCTCCTTTTAGTACTTAGTACAAACTCTGCACCATGTTCTGATTTCATGAATGGAGAAGATACCCATATGTTAAAAACTGAGGTTATGTAAATTTATTCACAAAAGCCTGAGTGTGTCTTTGGTAGGCTAATACTTTTTCAGCATTATTATATTTATGTTTTTCTATCTCATATTTTTCTAAACAATTCAAGGTGGCTAGAGAGGATATTATGGAAAAACACCACAGCAAAATTCTTGAACAACTAGGCCCTTAAAATCCAGTCTATTCCAAAGGCACCAAGAATCAAGGGGATGCAAATTTCCCCTTAGTGAAAGGTGACTTTTTGTAATACTTACAAACTAATGGAACTTTATTTTGCAGTTTTATACATCTTATTTGGTGCTGTCAGTATACTTATCTACCTTTACACTTCTAATACGGTATCAACAATATACAAGATATATAGAGTATTAGGTATTTTTCTATTTCAAAGTTGAGCAAAAACTGCCACACTCTTGCTCCAAGTGTCTAAGTATCCAAATGGTAGCAAATGGGCTGCATTAAGCTTTATATATACACATTGCATATGAAGAAGAGAATGAAATTTATGCCCAGTTATGAAAAAAAAGTTACAAAGAGTATCATATACTGAGAATAACCTGCAAGGTTCTTTAAACAGTATCCCTTAGCGGTTTCAATAAAATGTCACTAACCACTAAGCCCTAAGTCTCAAGTTTTCTTCATAAGAATGCTGTAGAATTGCATTAGTATTTTATATAGATTATAAATTAAGCCAAATTTCTATCTAAATATACAAGTATGTGCTTCAAGCAATGTTTTGTGGCAAATGCACAAAACAATTTTCTAACGATTTATTGTCATTACAATAATGCACTTTTAAAGCCTTCATTTCAGTTTGGTAATTAAAATCCACATGAAACACAATGCTTTGCTGAACTTAGAAAAAGTATCTGCATTATGATTATGTAACCCGGCATTTGCAGGTAACTTGAAACTTAAAAGTAGTCACATGTAGGTCACTCAGCTCCAACACGGTTGTTCAGTGGTAATTATTTTGCAGCATTTATAGGCCTAAATATCAGTCTGAATTGCAACTTTTAATTCCATTGTCTGATGTGAGTGGTTATTATTTGTTTCTTTTAGTGCATCACCAAAATATGAATCAACACTAGGTTTTATTCCACTGTTACCAGGTTCTTCAGCAATATGATTCGACTGTGGAACTTCTGAACATGAAGCAGTTTTGGTAAGAAGAGAAATACTACACTGATGTGGGGAGTTTTCCAGACGGTCGTTTTCTACCTCAGGAAGAATGTTAACAGTAGCAAAGCGGGCATGATAATCACTGGAACCATGACTACAAGAAGTTTTCATGCTTTCTAGGTCAGAACAACTAAATTCAGAAAAATGACTAGAGTGAGAATCTGCCACGGACGGCATACTGTCACTGAGGGATGGAGCCTCAAATTCACTGGAGTTCGTGCTTTGTTGTTCTAACAACTGTGCATCCATGTCCTCTCTGGTCTCATTTATCTTCATGTTACTCTTTTTCCTCAATTTACCACTTTTCGATTTCTTTCCTGCTGTTGCTTCTTTGGACCACTTGGTGGCACTGGATTTACCTTCAGGCAAGCCACTGGATGAACCAACAGGATGATTTCGGGAGGCACTACCATCCTCCACACTACTGCTTCCACTGTTGTGCCTGAATTTGGATGGCTTTGATTCAATATCCACTTGCACCTCCATACTGTTGCCATCTCTAGAACATAAGAGTAACAAAAATAAATTTCTGACTTCCTATTTATTTTGATTCAGCCAACATCAAGGGGAAGGGGGATTCTATGTGAAAAATTCAAAGATTTGCATAAAAGGTACCAGAACAATTAACAGAGGATTCATTCTACTTTAAAAACTATTTAAAATAAAAGAATGGTATTTATAATAATGCTTCAATTAAAAGTAGAAGCAGCTACATTTATGGCTTATGATGTTCCAGGTACTACGTTACGGCCTCCATTTTTTCCCCCGAACCGTTTTATTAAGATATAATTCATATACCATAAAATTCAGCTGCACAACTCAGTTGTTTTTAGTATATTCAGAGTTGTGTAACCGTTGCCACTAACTTCAGAACATTTCCATCATCCTTCAAAGACACCCTGTACACAGCAGTCAGTTCCCATTTTTCCCTCCCGACAACCTCTAGCAAATACTAAGCTGCTTTCTATCTCTATGGACTGTCTATTCTGGGCATCTCATCATTTACTTTTTCCAGAGAACCTAAGAGTTGGTAGCTATTGTTCATGATAATTCTGCCTAATGACAGGGATTATTCTTTTAAAAATACTTCTGATTTTATAACAATTCTTTCCTTACTTGTCCAAAGGGATGTACGAATTCAGAATGGATCCTGCCATTGCTTTGGTACTGGCATTATCACTAACTGTTCCCAAACTGACTGTGCCAGATTCTCCGCTCAGACTGTACCGTTCTTTCTGTACATCGGCTTGTACTTCCAACCTTAAAGAAGGAGGTATCACATGAAAACCAAAATTATATTTATCAGCATTACTGTAATAAGTATATTTAAATAACTCAATTAAGAACCCTAGAAACAAGAAATTATTTTACAAACAACTATTACCATTTTTAAAATTTCCTCTTAAATTTGATTATTTAAATTTTGCTGTGACACACTGAATAGTACCAGCTATCCAAGTAAAATAAAAAAATAAGATCCCTGCCAAATAAGGTAGTTAAGAGAGTAACACAAAATGACCATAGATAATTTTAACTTAAATATGCTCTCGGGCCTCCCTGGTGGCCCAGCGGTTGAGCGCTGGGTTGCAAAGCTGCCCGCAGCCTCTGCAGCATCGGTTCAATCCCCAGCAGCCAGGCGAAGGTCCCATATGGTGCGCAGACCTCTCCTCCCGCCCTCTGCTTCTTTCAGCAGTGTACTTCATCGGTCTGCCTGTTCTGCTCTCTGCTCTAGCTCTGGTGAATTCTCTTACCCTCCCATGCTTCTGACTGTACCCAGTGCTTGTATAAATAAATAAACAAATCTTTAAAATAAATAAATAAATATGCTATTATTCTCACTCAGGATGTGGCAATTTGCTTACCATCTTTCAGTGCAAAACCAAAATCTGAATAAATTATCACAACCATTCTACATGACAAATTAGTGAGCCAAAAATCTTGGTCATTAAAAATGGTTCTATAAATTAATACTCAACTCTTAAAAAAACATAATATATGCCACTATAACTTAAGAGAAACAAAAATTAAAACAAGTAAAAACCCCCTATTTATCACTAGATTTCATTTTTTAATTTTACTGTTTATAATCCTGACATAGTAGGGTTATATGAAATCAAACTTTTGTTAATTAAATTCTCATCTACTTAACCATTTATAGCTAAAAGGCAAAAACAAAACAACACAAGGCACATTTTTCTTACCTATTGAAACAGTTTACCATGGTACTTCCTGACAGACTTCCCGTTATACTGGCCCCAGCTAGTGCCATGGTGCTGGCTGTTTCACTCAGGTTGTCTCGAATGGCTCCTATTCGATCCATGTGGCTTCCACTTGCACTCAAACTGCCAGTCAGACCACCAACACTTCCCTCTCCTATGCTAGGGTTGTGTCTAGCTTCTGCTACTGAAGTTGTGTCTAAATGCAAATATTTCAAAGAAATTAGTTTAAATTAAACGATTATTAACTTCTGTCTTCTTGTATTCCTCCATGATTTCAGATAAGACATTTTATTTTGTAAAAGTACAAGATACACAGGTGAAGATGTCTGTAGTGAGGGATACATAACTATAGGGTAAAAGTAAAGAAAAATAATTCAAAGAGTAAAGCTGGATGGGGAGTGTCCCTCAACTTGAAATGAACACTACTTTTTAAAACATCCACAAGATTTAGGAATTCTATAAAGAACCTGATTGTTGAACAATTTAGCTAACTTTGGTGTTCTAAGCACTTGAGCTTTGTGAATCAGAGATATATTTTTTCCCCCTGTGATTATCTTATTTTATTTTATATATTTTTTACATCATTCTTCATTTTTGTACAATATTTGCTTTCTCCTCTGAGGTGTAGTCCCTGTAAAATTCCCACCACCAATTCACCCATGCACCATCACCATAGTCCTTTGTGCTCTTCCCATCTCTGTTTTTATCCTACTCCTTCCTCCTCCCTTGCAGAATGGAGAGACACATCTTATCCTCAAGAAACTTACATTCTAGTTGGGAGAACAATAAATCATATGGTAATAAATGCTATGAGAAAAATAAAGCACAGGAAAGGGGAGTAAAAGCCAGTGAGTGTGATGAAGAGTTTATATATGCCTAATATATCAGGTGTGCTTGGGGAAGGTCTCTGATAGTCAAAGGAAGCAAAGGCGTGAAACATGAAATTATCTGTGGGGAAAGCATTCCAGACAGAGGGAACTGCAAATTTAAAAGCCTAGAAATGGGAATGTGCTTGGCATCTTGGAATCATTGAGGGGTGGTATAAAATAAAAGACTGATGAGATGATTTCTGGGACACAGCTGGGGATAGATCATATAAAGGGAGGGCATTATAAGTCATGATAAGGACTGTGGATTTTTCCTCCAATACTGTTAGAAGCCCGAGTAAGAAAGACATGGTCTATGTTTTAGAAGTCTCACTATGGCTACATTATAGCTGAGAAATTAATGGATCAATTAAAAGGCTTTTACAATACTCGAAGAGGCTAGTAACCTGAAGGATGGAATAGCAATGAAGGGTTAAGAAATGATTTGCATTATGGTGATATATTGAAAGAAGCAGAATTTGCGGATGGGATTAGATGGAATAAGGAGAAACTGGGTTATCACTGTAAGTGAAAGTTTGGGGCTCAAACAAGAGCAAGGATGGATGTTACCAAGGTGAAGATGACTGAGAGAATAACAGCATCTGGAGTGAAGAATTTAGTTACAGACATATTAGGCTTGCAGTACTTGCAAGACATTCAAGTACAAATTAAAGAGGTGAGTTAGATGTACATGTGTGCAGTCTTGAGAAGAGTTCAAGACTAGACATGAAAGGAGTGATCACTATATATTATTTAACAGATGAGATTACCTAGAGAGTGAGTATAAATAAATTAATAAATAAATTAAGTGTTAGAACTGAGCTCTGGGAAACTCTAAAATTTATGGCTAGGAGAGGAAACCAATCAAGATGACTGAGAAGTAGTGGCCAGTAGATGAGGTGAGATTTGTCTAGAAGACAAGTCAAGATGCCACTTTAAGGAGGGCACAGTCTACCATGTCAGGTGTACCTATATATTAGGTGAAGACTGAGAACTGAGCACTGTATATTTGGTGACACAGCACTGGTGACTCTGCTCTAGTGAATCGTCAGAAATGAAATTTGGGAATGGTATGGATTAAAATCTGATTGAAGTGAGTTCAAGGGAAAATGGGAGGTTAGAATATAGATACTGTTTTTGCACATTTGCCTGATTTATATCCCTAAGATAAATTCTGATAACAAGCATTGCTGGAATATAACACTTGCACATTTTTTAAAAGTCAGTAACTTATATTCCCACTGGAAGTCCATGTAGGTGTTTTCATTCTCCAATTATTATACTAATTTATATTTCTTTGAATAACAGTAGGCTGAAAATATTTTCTATTCATTGGCCATATATTTCTTCTTTTAAAGTGAACTGCATTTCTTTTTATATCCTTTTCCTACCAATTTGTAATGTTTTAGGCAAAATTTAGGATTAAAATTTTAAAATTTCTAAGAAATATTTCTAGTGGAGGTTAGAAACCCAGAACTTCTCAAGCCTCTTTCACCCACATACCTTTCCTTGGCAATTCATTTCACTGACTGAAGTCAATGGAAACTCTGACGTAAATGTTATCTGCAGCCTTCCCCCACTTAAACTATTAGTATATACTAATACTATTAAGTATATTTTCTTCCTTCACTCAAAGGACTTACCTACAGCTGTGTTAGTTCCACCAACATTTATGTCATTTTCATCATCAAATTCAATCCTGACTCCTTTTCCGTTACCTGCTGAAACTCCACAACCTCCACTTCGACAGAGAGAAATTGGAACAACACCATAGACATAAGCTAACATAATAGGGACACCAATACCTAAAAAAGAATCATTAGAAATAAAAATTAAATCACGGAAGTATGAGTTATAGCCAGTCTTCGCAAAGGAAGGTATGTAAAAGAAAAGTGCCAGGGTTTTGCAACCCTTGCCAAAAGTGGATTTGTCTAGTTGTTAAGGGACACAAGCAAATTCACAGCCTCAGCTTTTCAAAAAGGTAACATACATAAGGGGAGAAAAAGGTGTTGACTTTTTTCTTTTTAAGTGTTAGGACTTTAAACTGTATTTGGGGAAATAAGAGGAATAAGCCACTAACAATTTACTATCCTGCAGTTAGGTTCTTGAGTCTTCAATACTTTCCATAGGATCAGGTTAAGTTGTTCTTAAATAAAAATATAATTCAATTATCAACAATGTAATGCTCTTTGTTTTTTAAAATTGTTCCATAAAGGACCTCCGTGGTGGCACAAGGGGTTAAGATGCAATCTATAAAGCTATCCACAGCCACTGCAGCATGAGTTCGATCCCCAGCCAGTCAGGGAGCAACCCACATGGCGCAGCAGACCTCTCCTGACTCTCCTGCTGCTCCCCTCAGCAGCGTACTTTGGTTGATCTGCTTATTCTCTTCCCCTCTGTCTCTGGTGAATTGTCTCACCCCCCACACCTCTGGCCTTTACCCCAGCTCTTGTATGCATAAATAAATAAATCTTTTAAAAAATTATTTTAAAAAATCATTCCATAAAACTCTAGTTCTATAAAAAATTGAGGTCATAAGTATTTTTATGCATATTCTTACCTACAGTTACTGCTGCTACAACTGGAGAGACAATTACAGAC